GTCAGCTTTCCTGCTCCTCTGATGCTGTTTGGCCTGCTGTGTTCATCCAGCTCTACACCTTGTTATCTCAGATTCTCCAGCATCTGCAGTTCCTACTATCTCTGAAACAACGCTATGTGTAACATGTTTGAGAAAGATTGTTTCTTTATTTAGTTAATATTGGATGATGCATGGTATTTCTTTTAATAAAGTAAATAATTATACCGTTCCAGCCACTAAGCAGATTCTAACAGTTCATTGATTAGTGTGAATTGCAGGAGTTTATTCTGTTCATTCTACCTGTGAAGATGTTGGCTGCTCAACTTGAGCAATCTGAGCTCATCTCACTTGCCTGCCTTTCTTTCATTTATTGTTCTAATTTAAAACGCTTGAACAGATCCAATTGTCTCGAGAGATGCTTGTGGCAAAGCATTCTATGATCTAATATCCCACTGCATGAAAATAAATTCTTCCAATTACCCCTTTCGTTCTGGCAGTTGTTCGGGGTATAATAAGATACTCACTTTGCGTCAAACACAGTAAATTCTGCAAGTTTGCATTTTCTATGCACCTTTCAGTCTGAAGGAGAAAGGTGAATATCACCAGTGGAGATCATTCATTTGAAGTGGGATACATTTTAATACTCAGCTACAACACCCCTCTTGGTTGATGCCCTCTGTTCTGATACACCCTTTAGAAAATTACATGAAGGGTCTAGGCCCGAAACGTCAGCCTTCCTGCTCCTATGATGCTGCTTGGCCTGCTGTGTTCATCCAGCTCTACACCTTGTTATCATTAATTTTATTGTGCCTCTTCTAAAATGTGTCACCTCATACTAGAAAGATATAAAATTGTGAAGGGAATAGATAAGATAGAAGCATGGAGGTTGTTTCCACTGGTGGAATAAAACTAAAACTAGGGGATATCGCTTAAAAATAAGGGGGAGCAGATCTGGGACTGAGTTAAGGAGGAACTTCTTCACCCAAAGGGTTGTAAATCTTTGGAATTCTCTGCCCAGTGAAGTAGTTGAAGCTACCTCCTTGAATGTCTTTAAGGCAAAGATAGATAGATTTTTGAACAGTAAAGGAATTAAGGATTATGACGAGCGGACAGGTAAGTGGAGCTGAGTCCACAAAAAGATCAGCCATGATCTTATTGAATGGTGGAGAAGGCTTGACGGGCCACATGGTAAATTCTAGGATGGCATCTAAGTTGGGAATGCTGCAGTTAAACTGGAGTTTTTATTTGGTGGGGGGAGGGTAGCGTTTGGGAAGAACCATTTCTATCAAAAGTACAATGACCTATTCCTTTTATTAATGCATCAACACTTTTATTTTGTGCAGACTTGATTTCCTGTCTGGATAAAGGGATTCATTATTCTCAGCAACATTTTACGTAAGTTGAAATCCAATTTAACTTTGTTTTATATGCTGTAAGACTTGATGGAATGTTTTGCATTGTTTTGAAAGGAAAATTCCAGGAATGTTGGTGTGCTGATGTGGAAGCAGTCAGGCAATTGTCCTCCAGATAAATGACAGCTATCAAGAGGTGGATACGCCTCGGTTTGGGAGTTTACAGGATGACAACCAGTGACAGGAAAGTGAGCGAGCCAAAAATCCTCTTTTTGGGAACAATTGCCATGTCAATATCATACTTCTTTTCCCCCAATCTTGCTTTTAAAATCAACAATTAAATTGCCAAAGCTTTGTAAATGTTGTATTGAATCTGTCGTTGACAGCTTTTTGTTGTTCTACTAAAATGGGAAAATGTTCACGTCCACGAGGAAAGAAGGGAATTGGATTGAGGTTTGTTGTCTTAAAAAACAATCTCACACATGATGGGCTAAATAGCTTCCTATGCGTTGTATATGATTCTGTGAACTTTTACTTAGAGTTAGAATTGTAAACACTGAATTGAAGCTCATTTGAAAGAAAACATTAAGCGCTTATATGTTCTTTTATGCACAGTGATCAAAATTGCAGCATAGTCATTTAACTTGAAGTGGGATAGGTTCTTGTTATCTTTTTGACAGGTTAATATATGATCCAGTATCTACAAAGTTTCCACATCGGCTGTACCTCTTTAACTGTGTACAGATTATAGAGGACAGATAAAGGAAATGCGGCTGCCGGCAACACTTGGAAGCTAACAGATGTCTAAAGCATTTATAAATAGTAAGCATGAGCAGTGTGATCTCTGTCAGAATACAGTCCTGTGACAGAATGTGGGAATGTTTCTTCAGCCACTGTTAGTTCTGAAAAGATAGCGCCTTTGTCCTCCTCCAATATTAGCTGCCTTCATCTTTTGCTGAGGCCTCTGACTCATTAACAGTGTGTATGTGCCTGCGATCGCGTCAGTCAGAGACTGACACTAAATAGCAGCTAAATAAACTCGAGGAAGTGGGATGGAGTCCACAGTCACTGAAACAATCAAGTTCCTATCAAAATTTGCAACACCCTAACCATTGGAAATTAGTAGGAACATTGTGGAGACAGAAAATGCTTCCTGCATTATGGACGGAGCTCAAAGACACATTTGATACACTTGCAGCCAGCATACTGTCATAATTGTCATTGAATATGTCGCACATTATAAATAGACATATGAGAATGCATCACAGGGATGTAATGTTTATATTTGTACAAATAGCATCCTTGTTCATCACACAAAGATGTCTGAAATGGAGCAAGGGTGTCTCTTTACATGAATTGTTATGCTATTGTGGATCCTATCAGATACAAAACCAGATAAAACCTATGTGTTACCTCTGATTTTTCATTGCTGTACGTGACCTGTTTGTTGCACTATGCAATCCCTTTGGGATTGCTGCACAGTGGCACATGCATGCATCTTAAAGGGACCACTTCTCGTGCATGGTCTCTTTTGTCACTTGGGCAATCGTCCCAACTTCTATTTTGTGCCTCTGTAGGAAAAGTTAACCCATGCGTGGCTCTCTATACATTACGCACCAGATTCAGAAATGCGGGTCTCATTCAACAGGACATCTATACACTATGTCCCTTTATCAGAGATGGGTGAGAGAACCAGTATCCAGACTTAGGCTGGACACAGCTCACATATACAGACCATGGAGAGAAACCACAGAACCACCTTCGCCGAGATTTAAATAACTCACTTATCCAGGTGGGTGAGTGGGTAGTTGCAGAGTTAAACAAGTCTATCATGGTGTCAATTACTGTAGCCTGGTTTTGGTTACGCCATGCTGTGTGGCTCATGGAATGTGATCAACATATCCAAAGTCAACTGCATTCTTATCATCTGAAAATGTCTCCACTGTAAAGAGGAAGCTATCCATTGTTATCCAGGCTGCACTGCTCTCCAATGGATATCCAATTGTTCCATTCCTCATAGAAGATGCCCTGTTGATTTATATTTTTATCACAGAACTACTAGATGACATAATCCAACATGTATGGAGATTTTCCATACAAGTTCTTAAATCCAAAGATGTGCAGATTAGGGTGGATTGGCCATGCTAAATTGCCCAAAGTGTCCAGGGATGTGCAGGCTTGTTGGGTTAGCCATGGGAAATGCAGGATGACAGTGATAGAGTAAGGGGTGGATCTGGCTAGGATGCTCTGTGGAGAGTCAGTGTGAACTTGATGGGCTGAATGGCCTGCTTCTACACTGTAGGGATTCTATTATTCTATGATTCTTAAGATTTCTTTAATGGACATATTTACAGGCTTACTTCCCACTGTTTCCTCCCATAGAGATACTCTTTCTTTCCTCCAATCGTGATTAGAACGCCTACTTATTGGAAAACAGTCTGGGAGCATCATTTCTCTGTTTCTCATTCGTATTCCTCATTTATTTGACTGCCACTCTTACACAATTGATTAACCAGTCAACTGGCTAGCTACAGTAAATGTTATACTCATTACACCCAGGACTCTTACAGTTTGGGTGGCATCCTGTTAGGAAGGCTATAATTGCATAGATTTTATTATCAGTGGGGAGCAAATATTGTTCACTGTTCATTGTGCTTAGTATGGCTCACTGACTCCTGCATGGGCTGTATTTTAACCATTCTCAATCCCTCTCCTTGCAGAGAGGTAAAATCAGACGTAACGTTTCTTAAACAATACACACCATCAGTAGCAGCTTTGGGACCTATGTGAGCATGATAAGCAATAATGTGCTTCCTCAAACAAACAAAGTGAAGAATTCTAATTGAGAATCCAAACCAGTAAGTTAGAACATTTAATTAATTCGAAAAATTATGTACACAAGGCAAAACAAAGAGAAGGGAAAAATGTTGAGATTACGGCAGAGAGACATAAAATTGAGTAAAAAATGTTTAAAATATAACTTGTTTGAAATTTCCAACAATAATTAAAATCTGAAAGAGTGAGATTCCAAACTAATAAAAATTATTTTTCAGGCCCATAGGAATTGCGAGGAATTAATATTTACCACACTGTTAGCAATGCGAAAATGAAAAATGTGAAAAATTAAGACATTAAAAATGCATATATTCTTGAATGGAAAAGCCCAAAATTTTTCTGGGGTGTTTATTTAGTGCTTGGAGAAGGATAATGCTGCAGATCCATGTATATACTTGGCAAGTCTCTTGCCAAGTTATCGGTGTAGCAAAGCTGGCAGAGGAGCTGGGCAACTTGGACAGCCAGTTCCCAGTTTCCATGTTTAACTCTACGTAGAGTCATAGAGTCATACAGATGTACAGCATGGAAACAGACCCTTCGGCCCATCTCGTCCATGCTGACCAGATATCCCATTTGCCAGCATTTAGCCCATATCCCTCTTAAACCCTTCCTGTTCATTTACCCATCCACTTGTGTCTCAAATGTTGTCCAAAACAATGCAACAGCTTATAAATAATAATTACTGCTCCAAGAAATTGTGGAAATCAGCTCCAAAAGTGAAAAAAGCCTCAAAAAAGCAGCGGCTCTTACAGCCACAGCCACAGTTTTCTCCCATCCTCCATGTGTGGACCAACCAAATAACTTCCCTCACCCTGAAAATTAACTGGCATCAATTTGGATGCTGATTCCTTCAGATTTTCATTATTGTTGGAAATTTAAAATAAATTAAAATTAAACCCGTTTTAATCTATTTTATGTGACTGTATGATGTGTGAATGCTGGAAGTTATTTTCAGATTTACTCCATAATAACATAAGTTCTGCTGGCCCCTCTTTATTCCTATTGCAACATCTAGGCCATTATAAAGAAAGTCAACTCAATGCCTCAAGCAATCTCTTGAGATGCAACAGTTCCTGGGTCCATAAAGGGAGTCAACAAAAACGATGTATGTCTTTCTGATTTGCCCTCCAATGGGTTTTAAAAGGTCTAGTGGCACCTATAAGAGAACGTGGCACTTGAAGATCACAAATTGTGTTTGAAGAGTTTTTCCAATACTGATCACTTAATGCTTGAGCAGAAACATGAAAGCACTTTTCGAGCACAAATCATACAGGATGCATTTCGTGTCAGTGATGACTTTACTGAGCTCTTTATTGTTATTCACTTGCTTTGTGGTAACCATTCCTTTTGTTTACATTATAGTAAATATTGTCCAGCAGGTTGTAAAGATGTCATTGGTGAAGTTTGGGGAAACCTTCAACAGGGTTATCGTGATGTGAGTATATATCAATAAATTAAACAAGTAACCAATTTTTCTTTTGGAAGTCATCTATGTATTAATACAACAGCATTTTTATCGGGTCACCCCTCATTTAAGTTGTTCATGATGTGTAGGTGCCGGTGTTGGATGGGGGTGGATAAAGCCAGAAGTCACACGACACCAGGTTATAGTCCAACAGGTGACGAAAGAGCACCGCTCTGAAAGCTTATGATTTAAACAAAAATGTTGGACTATAACCTGGTGTCATGTGACGTCTGACTAAGTTGTACATAATTGTGTTTTTCAGAGGTTATGACAGATCTAGAGAATTAAATATGTTGGATTCTGTATGCAGTAGTGTGAAGTGCAAACTATTTCAATATGAGCATGATAAATAGAAGCAAGACTAGGCAGTATGACCCCTCTAGCCCATTCTGTCATTCAATAAAAGATTGGCTGAAAGTTGGCTTCAACTCCACTTTCTTGCTCAATTCCCCATTTTTCTCAATTCCATTACTGTGCAAAAATTTTCAAAAGCTATCAATCTCAGCCTTGAATATATTTAAAGATTGAGTGTTGATTGCCCACTGTGTGTGATGTAGAATTCCGAAGATTGCTGTCTCAGAGCTCAGGAACCCAAAATTCCAACTTGCGATCCCACTTGGGGCCTTGACTCCCACTTTGTGAAGCCCTGCTGTAGGATTTTCTCAGTAATATTATATTAACAGGTTTACCTCAATTAGTTAATGCAAAGTTAAAATTCTCCTCTTGTTGTAGAAATTGAACAACATATTGCCAAACATTATATATTGGTCCTTTCTTTCACAGACCTCTGTTTCATATTTGTCAACTTTCGCTGCAGCAAGAGAAGAAATATTCAGATTACAGTCAGTCCGCAGCTCCGTTTTATCCTCATTGTGTAGTTCTGTAAAAGTTCAGTATATGTGCAGAAATAATGAAAGGAAATTTTAATCTATACCACTCATTGGAATCAAATTAATTATGATCACTATGGACATCTCAATGTCCTTTGGGTTTGTCTGTTCCTTGCTGAATTTTCTGCTAATGAATCCAAATAGATCCATTTGGATAGAGTCATAGAGTCCATAAGAATATAAGACATAGGAGCAGAAATTAGGCCACTCAGCCAATCATGTCTGCCCTACCATGCAATCATGGCTGATAAGTTTCTCAACCCCATTCTCACACTGTCTCTCCATAACTCTTGATCCTTAACAATCAAGAACCTATTTATCTCTGTCTTAAATATACTCAATGACCTGGCCTTCACAGCCTTCTGTGGCAGTGAATTCCATAGGTTCACCACTCTCTGGTTGAAGAAGTTTCTCCTTATCTCCGAACTAAAAGATCTTGCCTTTGCTCTAAGGCTGTGCCCTGGGTCCTAGTTTCTCCTGCCAATGGAAACATCTTCCCAACGTTCACTGTGTCCAGGCTTTTCAGTATTCTGTAAGTTTCAATTAGATCTCCCCTCATCCTTCTCAACTCCAAGTATAGACCCAGAGTCCTCAAACGTTTCTCATATCTTAAGCCGTTCATTCCTGGGATCATTCTCATGAACCTCCTCTGGACCCACTCCAGGGCCTGTACATCCTTTCTGTGGAATGGGGCCCAAAATTGCTCACAATATTTCAAATGTGGTCTGACCAGAGCTTTATAAAGCCTCTGAAGTACATCCCTGCTTTTACATTCTCGTCGTCTCGCAATAAATGCCAACATTGTATTTGACCTTCTACTGATTCAACCTGCAAGTTTACCATAACAGAATCCTGGACTAGGACTCGCAAGTCCACTTGCACTTAAGATTTCTGAATTTTCTCCCCATTTAAATAATAGTCCACACCTCTATTCTTCCTACCAAAGTGCATGACCACACACTTGCCCATGTTGTATTCCATCTGCGACTTCTTTGCCCACTCTGCTAACCTGTCTAAATCCTTCTGCAGCCTACCCGCCTCCTCAATACTTCCTGTCCCTCCACCTTTTTTTAATCATCTGCAAATGTCATAGAAATGTACAGCATGGAACTAGGCCTTCAGTCCAACTAGTCCATGCCAACCAAATACCTTAAATTAATCTAGTCCCATTTGCCAGCATTTGACCCATATCCCTCTAAACTGTTCCTATTCATATACCCATCCAGATGCCTTTTAAATGTTGTAATTGTACCAGCCTCTGCTACTTCCTCTGGCAGCTTGTTCCATACACATACCACCCTCTGCATGAAAAGGTTACCCCTTGGGTCCCTTTTTAAATCTTTCCCCTCTCACCTTAAGCCTATGCCCTCTAGTTTTGAACTCCCCTACTCTGAAGGAAAGACCTTGGCTCTTCACCCTATCTATGCCCCTCATGATTTCATAAACCTCCATAAGGTCACCCTTCAGCCTCTGACACTTCAGGAAAAATAGTGTCCTCCTATTCAGCCTCTCCCTATAGCTCAAACCCTGCAATCCTGGCAACGTCCTTGTAAATCTTTTCTGAACCATTTCAAGTTTCACAACAATCTTCCTATAGCAGGGAGACTGGAATTGAATGGAGTATTCCAAAAGTGGCTTAACCAATGTCCAGTACAGCCTCAACATTTGCTCCCAAATCCAATATTCAATGCACTGACCAATAAAGGCAAGCGTACCAAATGCCTTCTTCATTATCCTATCTTCTTGCGACTCTACCTTCGAGGAACTGTGAACCTGCACCCCTAGGTCTCTTTGATTTGAGCTCAGTTTTTCTTTTGTACTTGTAAAGTATTTTAGATAAGGATAAATAAATTGGAATGGTGTTGGTTAATATCTTCTTTTCATTATGTTACAAACTCTTGTGTCATTGTGCATTTCCCATCATTGTTTTCAATTATAAACTACAATGGCACCACAACTGCTGGGGGATTCTAATTACAATGTAACATGTTTACATACGGCCGCTTCCCTTCTAAATGTTAAAATTCCAATGCATGGCTGTCCTGGCCAAATACAACTTCAATTTATATAACGCCTTTAATGTATTAATAAACCCAAAGCATTTTTCCGGAGGTAGGGGTGGTGTTTGTAAAATGGAAATTAGGCGCTGAGCCACATAAAATGAAATTAGGCAGATGACTTAAACTCCATAGAGTCATAGTGTCCTACAGCATGGAAGCAGACTCTTCGGTCCAACTTGTCCATGCTGACCAGATGTCCTAAACTGATCTAGTCCCATTTGCCAGTATTTGGCCCACATCCCTCAAAACCCTTCCTATTCACATGCCCATCCAGATGCCTTTTAAATGTTGTAATTGTACCAGCCTCCACCACCTACTCTGGCTGCTTGTTCCATACACGCACCACCCTCTGCGTGAAAAAGTTGCCCCTTAGGTCCCTTTTATATCTTTCCCCTCTCACCTTAAACCTATGCCCCTCTAGTTTCAGACTCCCCAACCCTGGGGAAAAGACCTTGACTATTCACCCTATCCATGTCCCTTATGATTTTATAAACCTCTATAAGGTCACCCCTCAACCTCCAAAACTTCAGGAAAAATAGCCCCAGCCTATTTAGCCTCTCCTTATAGCTCAAGCCCTCCACTGCTGCAAACTCCACTTTCCTGCCTTTTCCCTATAATCCTTGATTCTCTTCCTGATTAATAATCTATCTATCTCAGCCTTTAATATACTTAATGACCCAGCTTCAATAGCTGTCTGGGGTAAAGAAATCCACAGATTCACTGCCCTCTATGATCCACTTGATTCACACTCCATCCCAATATTTTGTTGGCTGAGTATGCTTTTTGTTTAATAACGTTCCTGCAAATTGCCTTGGGACAGTCTGTTACATTAAAGGAGCTACATAAATGTAAGTTGTTGTTGTCAAATGCCATGTACATTTGAGACTTCAAGCATTGTGAAGAACGGTATTAGGATAGCAGTCACTTGAAGCATCGATGATGAAGGTGGCACCACCCATCCTGACTTGATCCAGCATGTATTCACAATGTTTATGAAATGAGTTGAAGATAACACATTATTTTCTGTCCCATAGACATCTGTCTTGTGTAAAGCAGCTCTCCATGCTGGTGCAATAGCAGATGAGCTAGGGGGTCAATTCTCAGCAATTCTGAACAAAGGCATCACTCTGTATGAAGCAGCTTCTGCAAATGGAATTTTAACTAGAACGTAAGTAGGATAAACTCCAGTTGCAGTTTCTTTGGCACGTCTCATGGTTTGCTGCCATAACACAGGCACAAATGCCCAGAGAAATGGTGTCAGTGCTACAGCAGGTAATTTGGGGAATGCCAGCAGAAATTCCAATTCCTCTCACGTCTCGCTGCATGTTTTTGATCTGTCTCAAAGCAGCAGGCCAGTTGCCAATGAAGTGGGAATTAATAAAAACTGAAAGAACTGTGGATGCTGTAAATCAGAAACAGAAATTGCTGGAAAAGTTCAGCAGGTTTGGCAGCATCTGTGGAGAGAAATCAAAGTCAGCCTTTCCTTCTGAGGAAGGGTCACTGGAATGTTAACTCTGATTTCTCTCCACAGATGCTGCCAGACCTGCTGAGCTTTTCCAGCAATTTTTGTTCTTGTTTAAGGGGGCTTTATTGCTTGTTAAACACCATTATTAATAGCACAACTCTGGTTTTCAATATTAAACTTCCATTCTTACCAAATGCACTGGTCAAACTAGATGTCGAGAATTCTCGGCATGGAAGTTGGAGCAGGTTCCTGGTGACTGCAGCACACTGCTTGCTCCAAAGTACCTCCATGATGGCCACCAGGCGCCAACATCTCAGGGTACACTCCATGGGATCAAGAGTTGCGGGGAAAGTGGGGTTGAGAAACAAATTGGCCATGATTGAATGGCAGAGTGGACTCAATAGGCAGAATGGCCTAATTCTGTTCCTATATCTTATGGTCTCATGGGCATCTACCATATACATACCCCAAGTCCAGAGACACTGGCATCCAACATGTGCCAGTCCCATAAACCCCTCAGAATACATACGTACAGTATGTGTCTGCACTTCAATGCTGCACGAGGAACTATCATTCAAATGCTACAGCACAGACACTATCTGGACATGAGCCCAGTACATGGACTGGACCAGGCCATACCTCCAAGTTCTTCGCTAGCTCTCATAATGTTCACACACTCTGAGTCTACCTGGATGATCATAACAAACCTGCCTTGCACATTGCACCTTCAGCCAGCAGTTATGGGAACAGCACGTGGTCAGATGGGGCTTGAACTGGACGTGTGGATTGCTGTAGGGAGTGGGGTAGGGAATTGTTTGGTGAGATATGGTGAGAAATGTTGTTGGACCTTACAGCAAAAATCCTTCCAAACAACATGACATAAATCGCATCAAGACAAAAAGCCTTAAGATTCAGCCCTAGATGTTTTAATTACAAAACGTGTCTTTTATCAAAAATCATGATTGCAATATATCCTTTCTTTGGATTAGTTTTACAGGAAAAGACACAGGGCAGGATTTGATTATGAGGCAGGGGCAGGATGAGTAGCAGGGAAGCCTGGAGTTTCTTAACTGTCAGTTTGCCAGCTGATTTTGTGAAAGACACATTGTGGTGGTAGTTAATGGAACCATGTTAAGGTCCCTGTTTGTGCCTATATCCCACACTGACAGGAATTTGTCTTTCAACAGGAAAATGCTCTGGGGTGGTCAAAACATATTGAAAGATTATGGCTTCCCGTGGGGAATGAGGGGGTTGGGCAGAGGTCAATGTAAAGACAAACTTACCCCACCATTCCCACACTGAGGAAGGAGCAGGGGGCTAGCCACAGCTGTGGCAAGTTTTATTTTTGCGTATGATTGAAAGTGCTGAGCGCCTTCATCATGACACAACCACTGTCTCACTTCCTGAAATGGCAGACAAGTGCTGGAGGACTTTTTGTTGGTCCTCCAACATCAAGAAGCTGCCCAGAATCCTCACTTGAAAGTGCAAGTGCATCCTCTGGAAACTAATTGGCCATTCCTTGGAGAATTATGTCGAGATGACCAATCCCAACACAGTATGGGATTGACACCTTGAGTTGATCCTGCCATCAAGCTCCCAACACCAAATGGAAGATCCTGCCCACATTTTGCAGGATTTCATGACTTAAAAATGTGCCTCTGGGCCTCAGTGAGGCATTTCGTTTTCAAAATGTGAACAACTTGACTTCATTCGTGGGACAATACATTTTATTTGAGTTTCATTTTCTTTCGGTGTTGTGGGTGCCAGGAAAGGGCAAAATATAGAAACAATACATAAATTGCAGTGTCTGGATTGATGGAAACTGGAACTTGAACTATCTTGCTTGTAGAATGGAGTATTAAAAATATTATTTAATATTTAGTACATGACTGCCTCAGCCACAATGCACAAAAAAGTAACCAAGTGCCAATCATTATTAACCTCCAGAAAGGCTTGTGTATTACATTTAACCTGCATCAGTAAAAACCCTTTCATAGTGAAATGGTGTACATTTTGCTTAGGGAATCTGGTTCAATGATCATTCTTAATCTTTAATGTCTCCATTTCTTCCAGAGGTTCTTTGTCTGAAAAACGGATCAAAATCAGGAAAGGTAAAAGAACAAACTTTAATGGCACCATATTGTTCACAGAAATGGTCAAACAATCTTTACAAGTGAAAACTGAAAACTGTTACATGCACTATTACAGTTAGGATGAAGCAGTCAGTACAATTTTGCAAATGGAAGAAATTAAACAATGTGAAACTCTTGGCCCACAGTCAGAATGACAGATGATTAAAGTACTTTTACTCCCTCACCAAATTCCACATGAAACTGCAGTTTTCATGGAATACATTGGCAATAATTAGTGTTTGGAGTCAAAAGGGAGGATAACTTCAATTCATAAAGCATCTTTTAAAATAGAAATGTCTCATTGTACTTCATAACGTCGTATTTTTGGAGATAATTTTATCTCTTGAGATTAAGATATTCTTAAGGTCCTTATGCTTTATGTTAGAGGTGAGAATTGAAGGGACTCCTGAAAAGTGGACTGAGAAAGCAGGTTATTGTAGAGACATAAGGAGACCAGGTCCTCCAGGATGATCCTGTAGTACTAAAACGAGACTTGACAACAGGGGGGAAAGTGTGGGTAATAATTATTGAAACATAGATGATCTCGAGGTGACCGGATTGAGTGGACAGTGAGAGGAAGATTCTCCTCGTAGGAGAAGTTAGAACTGGGGGACACAGTTTAGAAATAAGGCATCTCCCATCTATGATGGAGATGTGGATGATTCCTTTCTCTTAGATTCTGGAACTCTCTTCCCCAGAGAGCATTGGAAGCAAGGTCATTGAACACATTTAAGGCAGAGATAGGTAGATTCTTGACCAACAAGACAGTCAAAAATTAGGGGATTGCCAGAAATGTAGAGTTGAGGCCATAATTTTATGAGCCATGTTGAATGGTGGCAAAGGCCAAAGAGGCCAAGTGGCCTTCCCTGCCTCTGATGTGTATGTAGCTAGTTTCCCTTATCAACCTGGTCAGAAATATCAAGACACTCCTCTAGAGCAAGTGGGACCTGAACCTAGGTTTCCTGGCTCAGAGGTAGGGACACTACATCCACATCACAAGATTCCTCTAATGTGCATGTATACTTGAATTTAATAGGCCAGAGCTTTTAGGATGTGGAGAGGAGGGTTGTACCAGACTCTCAATTTTAATTGACAGAAACAACTAGCTTGCATTTATATAGGATTTTATCATGTATCTTAAGAACGTGGCAACATATGCAAATAGCTATTCTGAACAGCAATGACTACTGTTGTGTAGGCTAGCATGACAACCATCTGACACACAGCAAGATCCTGTCTAACTGCGTAATAGACTATAATTTCCTGTTCCAGGATTTGTGATGCCTGCTGCGTAGGAACAGTAATAAGAAATCTATTGACTTCTAGCAATAAATAAAGGTGATATTTTTATAGTAATAGTTGGAGATTGCTACATTTAGATAAATGAGATCTGACAGACTCGCTTTAAACCACTTTAAGATAGGCACTGTAGGATTACAGATTTGTTAGTAAATTGGTTAGAATATCTCTGGAATCCTGAATTCAAGCTACTGTTGTGCAGTCTTGTCTGTAAGGTTTGCTGACTCCGATGGTAGGATTAGGCAGATAACTTTATTTATTATTAAGTCTTTTAATAAACTCAAAATACTGCTGGCTATAAATAGAGTAAATAGTTTTCTTTTTAATCAGTTGATAGTGTGAAAATTATGAGTTCTACCAGCTTCTACGGGATGTTCTCACCATGGCATTTCCGAGCCTGTGCAGTGAGATGCATACCAGGACTAATGAAACATGATGCTTTTGTAAGATAGCTATCAGGCCAGTGCCACTAGAAGGTGAAATGTTTTACTAAATGTGGATTTTAATTTATTAGTCCAGTTTTAGCATTTACTCATTTATTTGGCTTTTGCTGCTGAAATTGCTCAGTGGAGTGGAGATTTGCTGGCAGTTGTTTTTCTCTCTGATAATGTAATGTCAGAAGTATTCTTATTGAGTGAGTATATGTTTCATGATATTTCCCATTATATAAGTCAAGCAATAGCCTCAATTCTGACAGTAATTGGTAAGCCTGGCTTATTATTCTGCTATAATTCAGCTAAATTGTGATCTGTACTGTTTCTGAGAATGTAAATATCCACATCCTGAGATTAATTAAAGATGTTCTAAGTTCCAACTCCAGTCCCTGAAAACCAATGTGAACAATCTGATTTTCCTTTGTTACTTCACTGTGTTATTTAAGAAGGGATTTGAAAAGATCATGTGTCTTTGCAAATAAAATTCAATTCAGCTGAATGAGCTTTAGGTAGGAAAGTATTCTATATCAATTAGTTATTGGTACAGGAACAAGCCAGCTATGTACTGTATAAGATTTTAGGATCAGAAGCTTTTTGTTTTCTCTTTGAAGGATTCTTTGTCTCACATTATGTCCCCCTCAAGGTATGGGGGACATTAACCACTTATTGATCCACCTGACTATTGCATCCATTGAGCCTTAGGTTTCTTCTGAGTGGCTGAGATGCACTTCACTTTCTCGCTGTTTATTTGATGGGTGTAAAAGAGACAATCATGGGTTGAAGTTCACCCCGAACTGACTCCTTGCTGATTTGGATCCATTGATACTTATTGCCCTCTACAACCACTGTAAATGAGTCATTATTAAGATCTGCAGCTTGACCAATCATAGTGCCACTGCCACTGCCTGAGCTGAAAAGAGATGCTATTTCACTCCATACAATCCAAGTGGGGGCCAGCGAATGGTGACTTTGTGCACTTTTCGCTGTACTTACGTATTTCTATACTCAGTACATGCAACGAATAAATAAATCTAAATCTGGAATTTAAATTAATCTCCATGGAGGACGCTCAAAACTGTAGAGATAGGAAGAGTTTGAGCAGAAAGAAAACATACGCACTCAGGGTAACCAATTTGTCACTTGTTTCACTCTTCTTAGATTGTGATACTGTCTTGAAGACCAGACACTTTAATGCCTCATCCTCTTGGAAAGAGAAGAACAACATTGGAGAGTGGCATGTCTGGTCCCCTGACAAAGCAAATATCAGCAACGATGGGTATCCATGGGCATGGGCAGCAGACTCACTCACTGAGGACCAATGGCTGCAAATAGACTTGGGAGAACGGAAGAATGTCACAGGTCAGTGCAATATTAAATAGACAAGTTTTGGTTTCAACAAATTACGGCAATGATTCTCAAAGGTTTTGAAGATTATTGGGGATATGCAGGAATGCAGACCTGAAGTTAAAATCACATCAGCCATGATCTTATTGAGTAGGGAAGCAGGCTCGAAGGGCCGAGAGGCCTGCTCTTGTTTCTTGTTCGTACATTTGTGAGCAAAAGTTACCCTTTCAGACTACAGTGTGAACCATCGGTAACTGTTACCCTGTTAACCAGGTTAGGTTATTGCATACCTATTTTCTACTGCTAATGAGATGGAATCATTTTGTGATAAATTATGGGAAATGTTATGATGTGTTCCTATACTGACTGGATCCAAAGCTGTGTGATTTTAATTTTCTTTGGACATTTGCAACTGGCGTTAGAAAGAGGCATTGATCCCACTAAGTAGGGGCTTGGATTCAGAGGTGAAAGGGCAGCGGGCAAACTCACTATTCCACCACCTATCCAATTTTTGTCAGAGTCAAAGAACTCAGTTAAGTTATACATTAAACCATAATCGTGCGCATTCAAAATTGCTTGAAAATTTCAGATGTTGAGTCATGAGTACTGAATGTGCAGTGTAAATAGTCTGCAATCGTTCCAAGTTGGTAAGACCAAGTATTTGGATTCAGCACCAAGGCACCAACTATTTCACTTCTGCTCAGCACCCCAGTCAGTCCTGGAATTTAACCTTGCCTATAGATTGGGCCCTCAGCAACATTTCACAAATACACTTCAGACACTTCTGCTTCAGAAGCAAATCTTTTTGCTGCTTTTGTGCATTTTTGTTTGTTATTTGTTGGTTTGAATGCCGTTTTCTTATTGAATGCTTTAATAGAGCACATTGCATGTCCTGTGGTTGTGAAATGTAACTCTTCTTATAAATAAGGGCATTGAGTAAACTCAATCTTGACTATGAATTTTTCAAAATGTATAAATACAATTTTCCAGTGTATTATGTCCTATTATGCCATATTGGCTCAGTGGTTAACACTGCTGACTCACAGCACCAGGCACCCAGGTTCAATTCTACCCTCGGGCAACTGTCTGTGTAGAGTTTGCACATTCTCTCTGTATCTGCGTGGGTTTCCTCCTACAGTCCAAACATGTGGATTGACCATGGGAAATGCAGAGTTACAGGAAGGGTGTGGGTCTAGGTGTGATGCTCTTTGGAGTGTTGGTATGAACTCAAAGGGCCAAATGGCCTGCTTTTATACTGTAGGGATTCTATAATAAGTCTATTACCTGTGTAAATAAGCATGTATTTTGCACCACCTATAATTTCAGGGATTGTGACCAAAGGCAGCATGACAAACGGGTATAACTTCTATGTGAAAACATATAAGGTTTCCTACAGCAGAGATGGGAAAACGTGGAGAACCTATAAGACTAGAAACAGCAAGGAAGGCAAGGTAATTCTCAGTCAAACTGTGACACTGATGCTTAATAATTGAATGCTGCACTATAGACCTCCAGAACCTTTTGTTCTCTGTTTTATTTTTACCTTTTTCTTTTCAACCAAAAGATTTTTGAAGGCAACATGAATGACCCCCAATCGGTTCGCAACAATTTTATCCCATCTTTCGTGGGGCGGTATGTTCGCATTACACCACAGACATGGTACCAAAGGATAGCTATGAAGGTGGAGCTGCTTGGTTGCAAGGCCTCGCAAAGAATCCGAATTGGTAAAGATCCTGCTTCTCACATTGTTTTGTTTTTTTTTGTCTTGGCGGGGCAGGGGTGTGTGTGTGTGGTGTGGTGTCGTACATCAATGTTCGTTACTCATAATGGCTGAGTATGATGTCAGCCCCAGATCAATAACCTAGGGCCTGCGGTGCTAATATCCACACAAAAACTGTCTTCTACAAACAAAATAACTGAAAGAACTATAGATGCTGAAAATCAGAAAGCAAAACAGAAATTGCTGGAAAAAGTAGCATCTGTGGAGAGAAATCGAAGTTAACATTTCAGGTCTAGTGAGCCCTCTGTTAAGGGCCTGTTAAGGATCACTAGACCTGAAATGTTAACTCAGCTTCCTCTCCACAGACGCTGCTAGACCTGTTGAGTTTTTCAAGCAATTTCTGTTTTTGAAACAGTCTTCTATATTCTGTTCAAAAGTGAATGAGCCCTGGGATGGGAGGGACAGTAGTGTAAATATTGTCATAATGTAAAATTCAACCAAATCACATAATGTCAATCAGGAGGAGGATCTTGCCCTGGTCAATATACCATCCCAGGCTTGTAACACCTTGACTCTGAGCATTCTCTGAAGTGAACTTAGAACTCTCCTCGTTATAAAACAATCACTTAGGCCAATTAAGAATAGCCAAAAACGTGGCCTTGCCAATGTTGCATACATTCTAAAATCAAATAAGGCAAAATAAATTCAATATTTTGAAGTGATGGATTGTTCCTAAAGAATTACAGCCCTGATCTTCCAGTTAAGTCAGAAAATGGCCATATCCTATTCAGAAGATCTGGACATTAATTCTTTGAAAATAATCTCTTGGAGGCCCTGATACATTGACTACCTGGTATTGGCTTGGCAAGTTTAAACTTCCAGTAGGGAGTTAACTGGTATCTGGAACTGTCCAATAATGTCTCTGAGTTAAAATTTTAGAGTTCAGAAGATTCCAATTTACTTATCTTTATAGTTAGCAGGGAAACACTGGAAGATTAAAACCTGTTGTAACTCCTGGCTAACTACAAAACTGGCCAACCCTGTGATCACTCTCACTGACCAGACCAAAATGGCGGCAGAGTAGGGTTTCTATGCCAGAGCTCGTCTGCTCTGACAGCTTTTCTATTTCTTTTTCTTTCTGTCTCTTTTCTTTATTTTTTACTTAGTCATCTTGACCTGACCTTGCACGCCCTCAGCAGTGGCGAGAACGGACCCAGGGCACAGACCTTGAATGGTCTCGAGCTGGGCCCAGGGCGTGGACCTCGACTGGGCCCAGCGCGCAGGAGAGTGAGCCCCTTAGTTACTTTCCCAAAGCAAGCACAGACGACATCGGCGAGGTAGGCCCAGCAGCAAAAGATGGCGCCTGAAGATCGGCAACTTTGTTGTTGGTTGGGTCCAGCGCTGGCGACAGCAAAGGCAAACCACTGACAGAATGGCAACGTGGCAGCACTGATGAGATGCAATGTGCCTCTGATATTGGTTGGTCCACCACAGATGGCAGCGAGGTAGTGGCGGAGAAGTATTGGCTCAGCAACAAAGATGGCGCATGAGAATCAGCAACTTTGATGTTGGTTGGGTCCTGTGTAGGCAGTGGAAAAGTATTAGTGGCAGAGTGGCAACGTAGGTGTCGTTGACAGTGATAAGCTGGCTCAGGGTTGATGGACTCTCTTCAATCTATATCTTCCCTTTTTTTCTTTTTTCTCTTTTATACTTATTCAAAATGGCACCATTTTAAGGTGACAAATGAAAGCTTTTCACTGTATTTTATTGTATTCTTGCTGTAAAATACACGTGACAATAAAGTCAAAATCAAATCACACTGACTGTAACCCCTCCTTTCCCCGGCAGCTGACCTAACCTACACTGTCATCCATGTAACTGTCACACTAACCTCCTCATCCATATGACACTCTATTCTCTCTCCTTCCAGAAACCGTACCCTCCTGAACCACCTGGCATCCTACCCTGCTTACCCATCTAGCACCTACCCTCTCACCTACATGACACCCTATCTTCTCTCCCATGTTCCTTACCCATTTACTTTCTTTCAAAAACCACCAGAGGCTTTCCTGAAACTGTTTAATTACCACAATGCAACAACTACTGCCATCAAAAGGGGGGCTGGTCTCTGTAATGAACCAATCCATGCTACCTGCGCAGATCGGAAAATTTGGGCTTATGTGTTCTTTGTGTGTTCCTATTCCAAATAACAGGTTAATTGACTTTCAGCTAGAGAGCAATCCACGTTACTTGCATGTTAATCAAATTTCAGCTTACTTTCCTATTGGTTTTCTAGAACTTAACATATAAATAATATCTTTATTAAAGGATTTATTAAGCTGGAGAGGGTTCAGAAGAGATTTATCAGGATGTTGCCAGGGATTGAGGCTTTGAGTTATAAGGAGAACCTGGATAGGCTCAGACATTTTCTGCTCGAGTGTATGAGATTGAGGGGTGACCTTATACAGATTTATAAAACCATGAAGGGTATAGATAACATGAATAGCTGGTGTCTTTTCCCTAAAGTGTGGTGTTTCAAGACCAGGAGGCACTTTTTGTGGTGACAGGAGAAAGATTTAGAAAAGACATAGGAAGACATAAGGGGCAATTTTTTTTTGCAGAGCATGGTTCTGGTGTGGAATGAACTTCTTGAGGAAGTGGTGGATGCGGGTAAAATGACAACATTTAAAAGACATTCGGATAAGTACATGAACAAGAAATGTTTGGAGGGATATGGGCCAAGTGCAGGCAGGTGGGACAAGTTTAGTTTGGGATTGGGTTACTGGCTAAGCTCCTGATCTCTTTCTCAATTTTCTCTGTTCCCGATATATTCCCAGGGTTGTGACAGGTGTGGGGATGGGAGTAATGGTGGAGAGGTGTGGGGGAGAATGGGTGATGTGGTGAGGAATCTGACGGAGGAGAGGTGATCTGGCAGAGCAGAGGCTGAGACACTGTGCTAGTGGAGGAAAGGAGGAAGGGGTGGGGGTGAGGGACATGATAGTCACAGGCAATTGAGGAGGGGGGGTTCAGACACATGTGACATCAGTAACGGTGGGGCAGGGGCATTTGGGAGGGAGGGAGCACAGTGTTTACTTATTCCACTGATTTTTCAAGTCGTAAGCACCTATTTTTCTGCAAAGCTTTCTCAAGACAGGATTGAGGTCTCAGGAATTGGCAAGTTAGACCACACTCAATCTTTGGAACCATAAGAAGTAGGAGCAGAAGTAGGCCAATCAACCCCTCGAGCCTGTTCGACCATTTAATACAATCATGGCTGATCCATCTTGGCCTCAACTCCACTTTCCTGCCCGCTCTCCATAACCCTTCAACCCGTTACTAATTAAACATCTATTTCCTCCTCAAGTTTATTCAATGTCCCAGCACTCAGGGTGTATTGAATTCCATAGATTCATGACCCTTTGAGTGAGATAATTTCTCCTCATCTATGATTTAAACCTGCCAACCCTCAACCTAAAATTATGACCATTCGTTGTCGAAAACACGAGATTTAAAGCAACACTTAGCACTCATTCAGAGCTCCATAGCAGCTATTGCTGCCTCAGCTTACAACCTAAATATTTCAGTTCATGACTCCATCAAGGGTCATGACCTATAATATGGGATGTCATGATCTGATACCTCGTCTTTATGTATAGTTGTTGGTCTGGGCCTAACAGACACTACTTCAACTCTTGTTTTTGCTGGTAAACTAATCATACGACATCAGCTCCTTTTATTGACACAGCATAAGGTTGGCATGGTGGCTCAGCGCTTAACACTGCTGCCTCGCATCACTGGAGGCAGCTGTCTGTGTGGAGTTTGTATATTCTCCCTGTGTCCATGGGGTTTCCTCTGGGCACTCTGGTTTCCTCCCACAGTCCAAAAATGTGCAGGTTTGGTGGATTGACTGTGCTAAATTGCCCATAGTGTTCAGGGATGTGTAGGTTAGGTGGATTAGCCATGGAAATGTAGCGGCGTGTGTCTGAGTGGGATGCTGTTAGGAGGGTTGGTGTGGACTCGATGGGCCGAATAGCCTACTTCCACACTGTAAGGATCTTAATATATTGTCCATCACAAAATTTGACAGCATACCTTGTGAGTAACCACTTGCTGTGATCTGGGGAGGGTCAAACTGTGAGAATAAAAAGACACTGAGCTAAGTAAAGTTGTTAAGATTGAAAAATTTAACGCAGGAGAGAGAGAGGAAATGAAGATTGAAAAATTCAAACTAGAAGGAGGCTTTCAGATATGTTACAAACCCTGCAGCTGAAAAGAGAAAAATGGAATCTTGCAGGGTATTTGTCTATTCTGAACCGTATAATTATTACACAGAGAGAAATAGACCATCATTTTTCAAACCACTGATGTGAGATAATGAAATATAAATTGCATATGGCTTTGATTACTGTGTTTGAAACACAAATAAACAGCTACATATAAATTGAAGAAGGATGTGGCTTTTTGCATGATGTCATTGTTTCGGAGATCACATGATACATCCACATCCTTCCTGAGCTGATTATTTCATCGGTAGATTGGATCACTCCCCTTTGAAGGGAAAAATGTTCTCTTACATTTCTCAAAAATTCTAAATGGAACTGGGGACTGAATGGTGCAGTGAGTTAAGCACTGGCTTTTGGCTTTGGAAAACTAGATTTGAACGTGGCCCAGATTATTGGTACAAAAATCTGCTGTATTCTAGTTGTGTGATCCCATGTGAAATGTGTCTGGACTGTCTTAATCCCAGTTGCTGGAGATTTTCCCACACCATAAACTTGCTCATAATCCAAGTATAATTGTGATTGTCTTGCTGGCCTTACTCATAAAATTTGGTGTGGATAGAATAGGATAAAAATTGCACTGATGCTGACTGTATGCATTGCTGAGAGTTGAGTATATTGTGGTTGGTTCTATTGCCGAGCTGATTCATTAGTTCACAGACGTTTCATTACCCTGCTGGGTAATATCATCAGTGCAGCTTCCATGAAGCGCTGTTGTGTTTTCCCGCCTGATATTTAAACTCTGGGGTTCGTTGGAGTTGATTACCTCATTTCCAATTTTTCTTTGCAGTGTTGTATATATAGGGTCCAACCGTCCAAATAGCATCCCACCCAGACACACTCCGCTACATTTCCAATGGTCAATCCACCTAGACATCATGGTAGAACGCAGGGCCAATGGGGAATTTCTGACAAAGGTACGCAGAAAGGCCACACACATGGATCAAGTCCTGAATTTCAACAGCAATCATCCCAACACCCACGAACGAAGTTGCGTGAAAACACTATCTAAACAAGCGACAACACACTGCAGCAACCCGGGACTGTGCCAAAATGAAGAAAAATACCTCTACCAACTATTTAAGGAAAACGGATACCGGAACAGCTGGGTCCGACGATGCCTATCACGCAAACAACAACAGGAAGGTACAGTACGCCCTGACACACTCGTCACATTATCGTACATAAAGAACATATCCGAACTGACCACAACACTCCTCCAACCATTGGGCATCAGAATGGCACACAAACCTCCATCAACCCTACGCCAACTGCTAACTCAAACCAAAGACCCCTTACCCACTATAGACAGAACCAACGTGATATACAAGATTCCATGCAAGGTCTGCGACAGTCATTACATTGGACAGACAGGAAGGAAACTGACCGCAAGAATACAGGAACACCACCTAGCAACAAAAAGACACGATCAATATTCACTCATCTCCATTCACTTGGATAAGGAGAACGACCAGTTCAATTGGGACATCACCAGGATCTTAGGACAGGCCAAACAGAGACAAGCACGGGAATTTCTAGAGGCCTGGTTCTCCACTAGGAAGGCCATCAATAAACACATAGAATTATACCCTATATATACACCACTGCAAAGAAAAGCTGAAAATGAGGTAATCAACTCCAACAGACCCCAGAGTTTTAATATTAGGTGGGAAAACACAACAGCGCTTCATCAGAGGCTGCACTGATGATGTTACCCAGCAGGGTAATGAACCAGCTTGGTGAGTGAACCAATCATAGCATCCACAACCCGAGCTACAAATCTACTCAAGATCCTTTATTGAGTATATATTATTGAATGAAGAGAGCTTCTTGCTTTTTCTTGAGAAGTTCCTCGATACAGAGTTGTAGGGCCTGAGGTGACTGAGCAGAACATTGCTGGATCCTTTGGATAGTGAAGATGGAGAAGTAAATGGGCAGGTGTTACATCTTCTGCAATTGCAATGAAAGGTACCGTAGGGCTGTGGGGAAGTATTGGGAGTGGGGGATGAGTGGACCAGGGTGTCCCAGAGGGAACGGTCCCTGTGGAAGGCTGACAAGGAAGGGGAGAGGAATATGTGTCTGATGGTAGCATCCCACTGGGGCTGTCGGAAATGGCGGCTAGTGATCCTTTGGACGTGGATGCTGATGGGGCAATAAGTGAGGACCGGGGGACCCTTTCGGTGTTGAGGGGGAAGGGGTGAGGGCAGAAGTCCAGGACTGGGTCAGATACAGCTGAGAGTCCTGTCAACCACTGTGGTGGGGAACCCTCAATTGAGGAAAAAGGTGGACATTTCTGAGGCCTCTCTGTGGAAGGTGTACTGTCTGACCATTTACCTCCTCCATCCTCACTATCCAGGGCTCCACACTCACCATCCAGGTGAAACAGTGATTGCTCTGCACTTGGCTCAATCCAGTCTACTGTATTTGCTGCTCAGAACGTAGTCTCCTCTGCAATGGGCAGATGAATCAGAGACTGGGTGATCACTTTGTAGAACACCTACGTTTGACAAGATAGATTATATCATCAACATAGGTTGTATTCCTATGCTAGCTGAAGCAGTGTCCTTGAGTATTTTTAAGGCAGAGGTAGGGAGAGCCTTGATGGGCATGGACATGAAAGGTTATTGGATCAAGTGGGAATGTGGAGTCACCAGATCAGCTGTGATCTCATTCATGCAGTCATTCAGTTCAGGAGAGGCCCTTTGGCCCATCGAGTCTGTACTACTAAGTCTACACTAGTTCCCTTTCCCACACTAGGTTATGACATTTCAAATGCTCATCCAAGTACTTTTTAAAGATTGTGCAGTTTCCTGCCTCAACAGTGAACATTAACTTCAATGGACTTCAGCAAGGCTTTCAACAAGGTTCCGCGTGGTAGGCTGATTAGTAAGGTTAGATCACATGGGATCAAGGGAAAGCTTTGCCAATTGGATGCAAAATTGACTTGACAGTAGGAGACAGAGGGTGGTGGTAAAGGGTTGTTGTTCAGACTGGAGGCCTTGACCAGCGTTTTCCACAAGGCTCGATGCTGGGTCCACTGTTGTTTGTCATTTATATAAACAATTTGGATGAGAATATAGGGGACATGGCTAGTAAGTATGCAGATGACACCAAAATTGGTGGTGTACTGAAAAGTGAAGAAGGTCATCTAAGAGTACAACGAGGTCTTGATCAGCTTGGCCAAAGGGCCGAGGATCGGTAGATGGAGTTTAATTTAGATAAATACATTTTGGTAAGACAAACCAGGGCAGGAGTAACACAGTTAATGTTAGGGCCCTGGCGAGTGTGGCTGAACAAAGAGACCTAGGTGCACAGGTACATAGTTCCTTGAAAGTGGTAGACAGGGTTGTGAAGAAGGCATTTTCCTTCATTGGTCGGAGTATTGAGTATAGGAGCTGGCATGTTACGTTGTAGTTGTACAGGACATTGGTGAGGCCTCTTTTGGTGTACCGCATACAATTCTGGTCGCCTTGCTACAGGAAGGATGGAAACTGGAAAGGGTGCAGAAAAGATTTGCCAGGATGTTACCTACACTGGAAGGCTTGAGTTATAAGGAGAGGCTGGATAGGCTGGGACTTTTTTCCCTAGAGTGTAGGAGGTTGAGAGGTGACCTTATTGAGATTTATAAAATCATGACAGGTATAAATAAGGTGAAGAACCAAGGTCTTTTCCCTAGGGTGCAGGAGTCCAAAACTAGAGGGCATAGATTTAAAATAAGAGGGGAAGATTTAAAACGGACCTAAGGGGCAACATTTTCACACAGATGGTGGTGCATATGTGGAACAAACTGCCAGAGGAAATGATAGAGGCGGGTACAATTACAAAATTTAAAAGAAATTTGAACAGGTACATGAATAGGAAAGGTTAACAGGGATATAGACAAAACGCAGATAATTGGAACTAGTTCAGTTTAGCAAACTTGGTCAGCATTGATGAGTTGGGCCAAAGGGTCTCTTTCCGTGCTATATGACTTTATAACTCTATAACTGCCCTCGCAGGCAGTGCATTCTAGACCCCCACTACCTTCTGGATGAAAACACGTTTTCTCAAATCCCCTCTAAATCTCCTGCCTTTCATTTTAAAACTCTAGCTCCTTGCCAATGACATAGTTACATTGAATTGGGCAACAGGTTCAAAGGGTTGTGTGGCCTGTTCCGCTCTGAATTTTAATGTTTGCACAAAAATGAAATTGTGGCTGATGTGGATTGCTACCTGTTGCCTGGTACTGCGAGAGCCTTGAGGAAAAGAAAATCTTGGTGAATCAAATTCTTGGAATTTTGAGTTATACCAGGAGATGGTGAGTGTGAGGAGCTTAACAGAAGGATGTAAAGGGGCAAAGCATAAATTATAGTGTAAGGAGGAGACTGAAAGGGAACATATAGAAAATTCTCTCTGTTGCCAGAACAACTAAGGAAACTTCTCCAAACTGTCTTGCAATGAGGCGACAGATTTTGAGGATGATGTTGTTTGGAGAGTCTCCCAAGGGATTTTGTTTGGAGGTTTACTTATTCTACTCTTGTTTTCTTTCCAGGTATACCCCGTAGTTCAAAACCTTTACCCAAGCCAACGGAGCAGCCCACAGAAAGCAGCACTCCAGTAAACCCAGTGATGGTGGAGAAACACTCACCAGGTAATATAAAACTGTAGAGACACCAAAAAAACTACAAATGCTTGAAATCTAAAGCTCAAGGAGACTATGACCTCATCACTAGACTATTATGCAACAATGTTTGAGGTCCCAGGTCTGAATCCCACCCTGGCAGATGATGAACCTTGAATTTAATTTTTTTTAAAAATCTGGAACTAACAGACTAATGATGACGATGAATTCATTGTTGATTGTTGGAAAAGCCCATCTAGTTCAATAATGTCCTTTAGCGAAGGAAGCAGCTGTCCTTACCCGGTCTGGCCTACATGCGACTCCAGACCCACAACAATGTGGTTGACTCTTAATTGCCTCTAGCATTTAGAAATGGGCAATAAACGCTGGCCTAGCTAGTGACACCCACATTCTATGAATGAATAAAAAAGACATAAAATTCTGGAAAAAGATGTTTTACCGTGTCAGCAGCTCTAAAAATAAGACATGTTCAAGTGTCACCCATCGTCAGATCTGGGGTGGATTCTGACCTTTATTGGAGCACACATATTACTTCCTATCATGTTGTTGAGAAAATATTAATGCTTTTGATGACGGGCATAAAATATTTTCAAGTGTTTTAATGGCACTTTTAAGCTCCTTTGCCTTTAACAGGGTACATTGTGGAGATGCAATGATTAATACAGGTGAGTATTTATTTTATAAAAGGGAGCTCAATTCGTACTTAGATATAATTATCTCCCAAAAACACAAAAGAACTGCAGACGCTGGAAATCTGAAACAAAAACTGAAATTGCTGGAAAAGTTCAGCAGGTCAGGCAGCATCTGTGGACAGAAATCAGAGTTAACGTTTCGGGTCCAGTGACCCCTTCTCAGAACTCTGATAATTATCACATGCTCATCCAAACGTTGTTCATAGTGCTTAATAATCTGCCTGTAGCCCCTGAAATATGTTATTTTGCATTTAAGATAATGATTAATTCTTCCCATAAATCTAGGCACTTCCCAGGTCTCATGAACATTATTGTCATTTAAATAAACAGGACAAAACAAAACTCAAGGTCCTGCTCATACACGCACAAACTTGGCAGCTAGGCACTTCAAATTACCCAGGTTACTTTGCCACCCTGACGATGGCACAAGCTGAAGATTCCTGATTTTAATCCGCTCGAGTGAGCTGCTGGTCGCGTACCCTGACAAAGCCAGTGGGATTGAACCATAGTTTTAACATAAGCAGGATGCTGCAGTATGCTCTTCACCAGTTCAACATGAGAAAGAAGGTGGATCAGAACCAACCATGCACCTTTTTATGGAGAAGCTGTTTTTTAACCCTCCTTCTGACCTTCCCAAAATAGTTTACACGTCTCATCTTGTAATTCACTCACTAACTATCTAATGACCAACTAGTAAAGAGGTTGGCTGCATCTCTCTGGCAGGAACATGAGGGATTAGATAACACCCCTTCAATGGAAGTGGCAGAGTAGGTAACCTACAGAGCAGGTCAATATGACAAACTGCACTATAAAATTTCCTGGTTAATTAACCCATTGGTTTAATACTGGTCCAATTCTCAATTAGCTCCAGGAACCATGGGAATTAATGCTGTTACAGAGGTTACTGAAATTACAGAGGATATTGTATCAATTTCTGCCTGAGCATGCCGGGTAATTCTAATTATTTAAACACCAACTTGTCATACTTGAATTCCTAAAGCTTGATTGAACGAATCTGACCTAATATCTCTGCATTTGGTTAAATTAGGTGTGTCTCTCTTGACAGGTGATGGGAAGGTGATGGCCAAGTGGTATTATCACTGGACCATTAATCGAGAGACCTACAGAATGTTCTGGAATCTCAGGTTTGAATCCCACCAGAGCTGATGGGTGAATTTGAATTCAATAAAAAAATTCTGGAATTAAGAGTCCAACGATGACTATAAATGACAATAATGTTCATGAGACCTGGGAAGTGCCTAGATTTATGGGAAGAATTAATCATTATCTTAAATGCAAAATAACATATTTCAGGGGCTACAGGCAGATTATTAAGCACTATGAACAACGTTTGGATGAGCATGTGATAATTATCAGAGTTCTGAGAAGGGGTCACTGGACCCGAAACGTTAACTCTGATTTCTGTCCACAGATGCTGCCTGACCTGCTGAACTTTTCCAGCAATTTCAGTTTTTGTTTCAGATTTCCAGCGTCTGCAGTTCTTTTGTTTTTTTGGGAGATAATTATATCTAAGTACGAATTGAGCTCCCTTTTATAAAATAAATACTCACCTGTATTAATCATTGCATCTCCACAATGTACCCTGTTAAAGGCAAAGGAGCTTAAAAGTGCCATTAAAAGTGTCAATTGTCAGGAAAAGCCCATCTGGTTCACTAATATCCTTTAGGGAAGGAAACTGCCATCCTTACCTGATCTGGACTGTATGTGACTCCAGATCCACAGTAATGTGGTTGAATTTTAAACTGCCTTCTGGGCAATTGGGGATGGGAAATAAATGCTGTCTAGCCAGTAATGCCCACATCCTGTGAATGATTAAAAAAATGTATTTTCAAATCTATTAATTAGCAGAAGCTTAAAACCAGTGGGTTTCTCAGTTTCTTAGAGCCATAGAGCATTTGGCCCATCATTCCTGTACCAGTCATCAAACATCCATCTAATCTAATCCCATTTTCCAGCACTTGGCCCATCGCCTTGTATACTATGGTGTGTCAAGTACTCATCTAAATACTTCTTAAATGTCTTCAGGGTTTTTGTTTATTCATTCACGGGATGAGGGTATCACTGGTTAGGCAGCATTTATTGCCCACCCCTAATTGCCCAGAGGGCAGTAAAGAGCCAACCGCATTGCTGTGGGTCTAAAGTCACATGTAGGCCAGTCAAGGTAAGGATGGCAGATTTCTTTCCCAAAAGGACATTAGTGAACAGAAAGGTTTTTCCCAACAATCAGCAATGGATTCACAGTCGATATTTATTGAATTCAAATTCTACTATCTGCCATTTGCAGAATTTGAACCCAGGTCCCCAGAACATTATCTGGGTCACTGGACTAACAGTCCAGCAATAATACCACTAGGCCATTACCACTGTCTTGGTACCCGCCTCTCCTGTTGTTTTATGCAGCGAGTTCCTGATACCACCACCCACTGGGTGACAAAAATAGCTTTCCCCAAATTCCCTCTAAACCTCCCGCTCCATACCTTAAAACTATGCTCCTGGTTATTGATCCCTCTCCCTACCTGCCCTGTCTGTGTCCCTAAGAATTTAGTACACCTCAATCAGGTCTCCATCAGCTTTCTCTGCTCTAAAGAAGCAGCCCCGAGGAAGGGCCCCGACCCGAAACGTCAACTTTCCTGCTCCTCTGATGCTGCCGGGCCTGCTGTGTTCCTCCAGCTCCACACTGTGTTATTTCTGACTCCAGCATCGGCAGTTCTTACTATCTCTGAGTGAGTTATAATCCCAGCCTAACTAGTCTGTCTTCATAGTTGAATCACCCCAGCCCAGGTAGACCCTGGTGAATCTCCTCTGCTCTCCCTCTAATGTAATCGCATCCTTCCTATAGCATGGCGACTGGAATGGCACACAGTCCTCCAGTTGTGGAGACTTGTAGCAGGGATTTTAAACATGCACATTCCACCACCCCCCCAACAAGAAAACCAGTTGGAAGGTTTCAGCTTTAGCTTTGATGGCTCTAAATGCTGTGTCATTTCTTTTTTAATGGCTTACAGAAAAGCAAAAGCATTGAAACTTACCGGCACATCAAAAATCTGTGGTAGCAGAAGGTTAGTAAGTTGTAAGTTGCATTAGAATAATTAGGATAGGTATTTACATGGCAAATATTCAGTGTGGAATTTTACTGTATCTTGTACAGGGGCCAGGACGTATTCCATGCCCATTAAAGGTTACAGAGCCAGAATGGGAAATTATGGACGGTTCACTAAAGATTCAAAAATCATGTTTGGTAACTGCAAGGAAGCAATAAAAATCCTAGGAAATACTGCTATCTCAATAAAGCAAAATCATTATATTTCAGTCACAGCCTTTGGTATCGCTACACTTTAATTGTGTTTCTTTGTGGTCACCACATCTGGTGATGGTTAGATATAGCGGCTGTAGAGAGAGTGCAGTGGAAGGCAGCAACAATTATATCTGAACTTGGATCTTTTATTCAAGAGCTAAGGCTTAGAAAGCTAAGGCTGATACTTTCGGTGAAATGTAGGCTCGAGGGTGTAAAGTTGAGGATTTTAAAAGTTCTGAAAGTAATTTGAGTAAGTTATCTAAAACTACAAGCAGCAACAGCTTATAAAATACCTTGGCAAAACGTCAGCTAAGATGTGAGGCAGCATTTCTGTTTTGAGAGCTCTGTCGTTCATTCGAACTGTTTGTCAGTGGATAAAGAAAGAACAGCTACACTATCATCTTTTAAGGGATGTGGCAATTGTCTGATGAACCGAGATTTTGGAATGCATTAGGATTAGTTGAGTATATGGGAGGAGGATTTATGAGATGGCTCTTCCTGAAACTGGCCAAGGGCTTTCGGTGTTTATGTTTCTGTCAGGGAGTTGGAACTCCGAGCAGTTGAAGAGGACTGAGCAGGAGATTGCACCATCTAGTGGGCAGGGTGAACACTTTAAGTAAAAATCAAAAGAACTGTGGATGCTGTAAATCAGAGACAAAAACATAAATTGCTGGAAAAGCTCAGCAGGTCTGGCAGCATCTGTGATGAGAAATCAGAGTTAACGTTTCGGGTTGAGTAACCCTTCCTCAGAATTCAAAATTGCCTTTGTGCCCTTCTACTTAATGTTCCTGTTGAATTTCAAGTTACAGTGTTTTTGGAATGAACCAGTGGCAATGATTGCAGGTATTCTCACTGTAGGAAACATATTTTGTCTTTTTTAAAAACTGTTTTTGGCAGGATTTGTAAAGGCTAGCTCTTGCCTTTCAAGTGAAAGATAAGTATGTGGTTCGCATTGGCAACTACAGTCAGTGTAAATGGAAAAGGAGAAACATAAAACAAAAAAAGTAAAAGATCAATAAGGCCTTTCTACCCATTGGGCAGTCACTGTGATAGAGACTAACAAACAGGTTTAACCTCAGAGTCAATCCCTGCGGTGGGTAATAATTGCTGTTGGTGGATTGTTGGACAATACAGTTAGTCTCAGTGCCTCTTGCTTGAGGAGAGAGGGAGATTTAATCAGGTCTCCTGCCACTTGTGTGGATATAGAATTGGTATTGTTCCACAACTGAAAAACATGCTCAATTCTCAGGGTACCACATGCTGCCACTGCCTGTGCAAAAGGACCTTAGCACCTTCTTAATTGAATTAATCTGAAATGCATCATTAACGCAAACTTTAGAAACAATAAAATCTTACAATCTTGTTTCTATTAGTTATGTGAAAGCTAAATTTGCCTGATTGAATGATTATGCCCAATATTTAATGACTCAATTTTTAAATCTATAATATTTGCTTTTCTAAGCCCCAGCTTCACAAATATCCAGCTCTGCCATCTGCACCCACCTAGGAAAGCCAGTTATATTATAGAATCATAAAATCCCTACTGTATGGAAGCAGGCCATTTGGTCCATCAAACCCACACTGCCATTCTGAAGACCAACCCCTCCAGACCCACCTGCACTTCCCATAGCTAATTCACCTAGCCTGCACATCCCTGAACACTACAGGGCAATTTTAGTGTGGCCAATCCATCTAACCTGCACATCTTTGGACTGTGGGAAGGAACTGGGGCACCTGGAAGAAACCCACGCAGGCATGGGGAGAATGTGCAAACTCCACACAGACTGTCACCCAAGGGTGGAATCAAACATGGGTCCCTGCCGCTGTTAGGCAACAGTGTGAACCACTGAACCACCGTATTGTAGAGAAGCCAGTGTGGGGCTTGTGGTTGGGAGGTTGAAGTGTAATAGTGACACTTCTATTCTCATTTTGAGAAAAACTCATTTATCAACGAGATGTTTGTGAAACAATGATTACGTATGAATGTTGGCCCTGGTTAGGGGCTCAAACTTTGTTCTTTCCATGGTTAGAAAAGCAAAGATGGAAGCTTGCATTCATAAAGATACTTGTAAAAGATCTCCATTTAGTTTAGGTAAAAATAAAACAAATGTACTTTCTAATTTATATTACTCTTTTTCAGGTTTTAATTTGATGCTGATACTTATTGTAGTTGGTTCTGTAGTAATCATTTCTACAGCTGTCCTGTTGCTATGTCTATACTGCGTGAAAAGGTGAGACTTTCTGATATTTTATTAGAATTCAGTATTCAATAATTAGAACAGGATGTTCAAACATATTCCCACTTGCTTCCAATCCTTTAGAAGTAAATGAAATTACTTCAAGTTGATTGAGAGCATGTGTTGCATTAATGTAGAATTTTAAATCCTCATTGAGACATGAATTTCCTAAATTTTTCAAAGCTGGTGAAAAAGAAGAGGTTAAGACTATAGTTGATGAATGATAGTGGCTCAAGATCAGGTAATGATACTGAAACATTGCAAATGCCCATTTCTGTTAAAGGATCCCGAGCCAAAATGTCAACTTTCCTGCTCCTCTGCTGCAGGCTGGCCTGCTATGTTCTTCCTTTCCTACTGTGTTGTCTCTGACTCCAGCATCTACAGTTCTTGCTGTCTCTTGCAAAATATCTGTTGGCTTTTGCATGAATTTATTTAAGAAGCATCAGAGGCTGAGGGGTCACCTTATAGAGCTTTATAAAATCATGAAAGGTATGGACAGGGTAAATAGGGAAGGTCTTTTCCCTGGGTTGGCAGAGTCCAAAACCAGAGGGCATAAGTTTAAGGTGAGAGGGTTTAGGTATAAAAGGGACCTAAGGGGCAACTTTCTCACATAGAGACTGGTGCGTGTATGGAATGAGCTGCCAGAGGAAGTGGTGGAGGCTGGTACAATTACAACATTTAAAAGGAATCTGGATCGGTATATGAATAGAAATGGGTTAGAGGGATATGGGCCAAATGCTGGCAAATGGGATTAGATTTATATGTGATATCTAGTCGGCATGGAGGAGTTGGACTGAGAGGTCTGTTTCTATGCTGTATATCTCTATGACTCTTAAGTTAGCTGTGAGTTATGATGAACTCTAGCTTAGTTCTGAGTTCAGGTGAATTGAGGTCAATGAATGTTGCTTTCAACAACAATATGCAATAATCTTTTTCTACGCCTTTGCATAATGTGTCATTAGGATGCATTACATGGATGTGTTTTTACTGGAGTAGAATTTGTGTATCGTATTGAATCGCTGTAACTACATAACACTGTTATGCATCAGAAAAACTGAGAACTACCCAAACTTTTAAGGAGTATTTGTTGAAGTGGATTAGGGCTATTGCTATTTTAAAAAATATATAAACTGCCAAATTTTGAAGAATTTTATGGAGCTGATTACATTTTGTCTGTGAAATCTATGACACACTGTAATTCCAGTAAAATGTGAGATTTTGTGTTTGTACGCATCCATCTAATTGATTTTTATTGTCTGCAGGAAGACGGGATCAAGATTGGACTGCTCTTTCTTAACAGGTAAATTATTTTGTTGATTTACAGAAAGAGCTAGATTGTCACAGAACATTTGATTTTGTAACATCGAAGCATAGCCATTGTTATTGAATCCTGCAGTGCACTGTGTCTACTGACGAGTGTCAGTGCCTCATCTATGTGTGAGAAAGACAGGAAGCATTAAGACTTTGTTGCCAATTCTTTTGCAATAAATGTCCAAATCTCATTTTGGAATAAGAAGATGACTCTTGCATAATACCCCAAATTCTTTGAGACACTTAATTGGTCATGTTCAAGATTTTCAAGCCCAGATGTTCTTAATTTCAGCCTAACTTAAGTATTTATGCATGATGCTGGGAATGTCTTGTCTCCTTTTCATGTTAAAGAAACAGATGAAGATATATTCTGAAATTAGGGTAAAAGGAAGTTGAACTTCTTGTTACAAACTTACTAATTTTTTTAAAGTTCTGCAATGTGAAGTTTCTAAAAAATTAAGACTTTGAGCTAACTATTTGAGAATGGATAACATAACATCACATCACAGCTTGATTCTATCTTCTCACAAATGTCAATAAGTATACTGGAACAGTAAGTGATAGAGATATGCATCATCTGTGTGGACTTGATTTGGGGACCACAACCCTGACCTTTCAGAGGCCAAATCACAGAACTGTACACTGCAGAAGGATTGTCTAATGTCCTTTAGGGAAGGAAATCTGCTGTCCTTACCAAGCCTGGCCTACATGTGATTCCAAACCCTTAGCAATGTGTGGTTGACTCATAAGCGCCCTCGTGAAATGGCCCAGCAAGCCAAGCAATTAAAGAGAAATTAGGGATGAGCAACAAAAATTGATCTTGCCAGCAGCACCCATATCCAATGAAAGAATAAAAAGAAAGAAAGGAGGCCATTCAAGGCATTAAGGTCTGCACAGATACTTTGAACAGCCATCCAGTGAGTCCCATATCCCTTCTTTTTATTTCCTTCTTCAGGCATTTAGCCAATGCCCTATTGAAAGATACTCACTGTGTGAAATTTATTTTCTCCTCACTTCACCCTTTCTTCTTCTGCTGATTACTTTATGTCTGTGCCCCCCTTGTACTTGTTCCTTTTATGAGCAGGAACAGTTTCTCTCTATGTACTCACTTCAGCCCACTCGTGGTTTTGACAACCTGTCTCAGATCTCCTCTTAGCCTTCACTCCAAGGAGAACAGTCCCAACTTCTCTAACCTTTTCTGGCTTAGAGAAAGTCTCAATGTTTTATTGGATTGCTTTGAGTACTTTCTGGATTCTACAAATATCTGGAGCCTACCCTCCCTGTGACCCCACCAAGCCCCTTATCTTCGTACAGTCAGCTTTGAAAGTAAATGTTGGCACATTGTTTGCCTGTAGAGTGCAGAAATAAATCCAGAAATCAGAGCTTCTTTTGTGTAATGTAACATAATAATAAAAAAAGAAAATGCTGGAAATGGTCAGCAAGTCAGGCGGCATCCGTAGCGAAAGAAACAGAGTTAACATTTCAGATTGATGACTTCTTGTCAGAAATGGAAGAAGTAAAATATGTCACATGTTTTCAGCCTCTACAAGGGCAAGGAAAGAAGGGAGGAGATATTAAAGTGAAGATTTGAGATAGGTTGGAAGATGGGAGAAATCAATTGACTGAAGGGATATTAGTGGCAGAAAACAAGATGATTATGTTGGGACAGGTAAAGAAACAAAAGATGAGTCTAGCAGAGGTGTGAATAATAACAGCATATCAATCCCAACAGCTCCTGTCCTAAAACATGGGAACTGTAGTAATGTTCTGAATTTGCTGAACTCAGTCTCAAGTCCAGAAAACTATAAAGAGCCTAATAATACATTGAACTTCAAATAGTGCCCCTCAGAACCTTATCACACCCAGCGTGCTTCCTTAAGTACTTTTGAGTTGTTGTTCATTTGTTTAGATTGCATAAAGGTGTCCAACTAGGAAAATTGTTAAATTTACGTGTTCTTTTTTATCTTCAGTGTGTGACAAATCAGTCAAAAAGCAGAACTGTCAAAGGGATCTACACCTGCCCACTGAATCAGAGATTATTACTTACATCAGTGAGAACGAGTCTGGTGGGTATATCACAGGAAACAACTTGTCAGGTACTGGATATATTTCCTTTCTGTCAATAAATGTCTCGCGTTCTCTCAGTCAATTGTATCCATTTCCCCGCTTTCCTTCCCTCCTGTCCTGAAAAATAGGATTTAATGCTGAAGTAAAGTTAAACATGCAGCTGTAATCTTCAAAATTCCCACCTATTCGTGCATAAATGTCAGCTCCAGATAAACCAGTGGGTAAACTAGTGGGGAAACCCAACAGAGTTTACCTTCATTCCACAATTGCATTTTTCAACCAAAGGTAACTTGGTGGCCACATGTAGGACTGAAAGGCCAATTAGATTTAGATTTGAGTTTTATTGTCATGTGTTCTCAAGTGCTGAAATTCAGAGTTCGCTGAAAAGTGTACAATGTCGCCACACACAGCACCATCTTAGGTACCTGAGGTACAAAATCTTAGTAACAGAAATAGAAAAATAAAGAAATAAGTTAAAAAGTTCAGCACTCCAGTCTTATTAGCATAAAAGTAGAAAAATAAAGAAATAAAGTTAAAATGTCAAGCATTACAGTACTTTCTTGAGCCATGGGCCTGCAGATGCTGCAAGCTGACCTTCCCCAAGAGGGCTCGCTCTCCCCCACAGTGGGCTAAGACCCACCCAGGCACGCCAAGACCGTCTACAAGTCTTCACCTCCAACAACCACATCATCGCTGAGCACCACTGCTGCCATCCTTTGTCACCAGCTGCCAATTGCCGCCTCTCCTCTGCCACCATCTTGGCTTGTGCTGGGTCCCAGCTGCTGCCGCGCTACAAACTTAAAAACATCTGAGAAAAGAAGAAACGAAAAGGAATTAGGTCATCCAGCCTCCTTATGCAGATATCCCCAAGCCGGTGGGCGACATTAATTGATCCTCATCTTCCATGTCACACAGTCTCCTCTGAGAGACAAAAGAGGCAGATAAAAAAAATGTAGGTTGGTTCGTCTCCAAACACCAAGCCACAGGAGACTGCAGTGATGATGTGAATAATAGTAGCTACTTAGTCCTCGATTATCCTGAGATGGTGTTGTCATTCAGAAACTCAGAATCACAGAAGGGTAATGGTGCAGAAGGAGGCCATTCAGCCCATTGTGCCTACACTGGCCCGTCAAATTAACATCATTGCCAGTCTCCTGCCTTTTCCCCATGCTCTTGCACATCATTTTTATATAAATAACCATCCACTGCCCTTTTATTTGCTGCAACTGAACCCATCTCCACAACATTTCCAGGCAGTGCATTCCATAATGATAAAAGTAAAATACTGCAGATGCTGGAAATCTGAAGTAAACACTGGGAATGCTGGAGAAGCTCAGCAGATCTGGCAGCGTCTGTGGCAAGAAATGGGTTCGTGTTTCAAATCCATATGACTCCTTGTCAGAACATCAGAACAGTGCATTCCAAACCCTGGCTACGCACTGTGTGAGAAAGTGTTTCCATGCTTTGCTCTCGCTTCTTTTGCAGACTGCTTTAGAACTATGCCAAATTGGTCTTATTCCTTTTACAAACTTACTCAAGAGTTTGATCATTCTGAGTGAAGAGGAATTCATCTAATCTAGTTCCTTAGTTTTTGTATTCATACTCAGTGCTCACACCCCTTTCCAATATTAATGACATGCATCTGGATGATACCTGCTCCTTTCGCCATTTAAAATACTTCAATCATATCACATCAAAAAAAGTCCTTGATCCTAACATATTAGCCCTAAAACTAAATATCCTTCTGGTTGAAATCCTGGCTGTTGCTTTACATCTTTCAATTTAAAGCAGATCGGATAATCTGGCCCAACTAGGGACACGACAAGTATGCGACAAGACCCCTGCAAATTATAACGTATAAGGGATAAGCTAACTCAACACGAATAGTTTGTTTTGGCCGTTATTACCACTATCAGCTGAGGTACTTGGAAAGCCCAAGATAAAATCTGATCTTGTACTGAGCCAACTAAACAAGCACAGCATTAAGCTGTGCAATGTCCTCACTTGGAGTCAGAAGCAATGGGTTTAAGTCCCACTCCAGAGAGTTAAGCTCAAAATCCTAGGTTTACACTCCAGTGCAGTGCTGAGAGAGCACTGCATTATAGCCATAGAGTCATAGTCATCGAGTCATACAGCAGAGAAACAGACCCTTCGATCCATATTGTCCATGCCGACCAGACATCTCAATTTGATCTAAGCCCATTTGCCAGCATTTGACCCCTATCCCTCTAAACTTTTCCTAATCATTCACCCATCCTGATGCCTTTTAAATGTTGTAATTGTATTATCCTCCACCACTTCCTCTGGCAGCTCATTCCATATAGGCACCACCCTCTGCATGAAAAGGCTATCCCTCAGGTCCTTTCTAAATCTTTCCCCTCTCACTTTAAACCTATGCCCACTAGTTTTGGACTCCCCCACCCTAGGAGAAAGATCTTGGCTATTCACCCTATCTGTGTCCCTAATGATTTTATAAACCTGTATAAGGTCACCCCTCAGCCTCCGATACTCCAGGGAAAATGTCACCAGCCTGTTAAGCCTCTCCTTGTAACTCAAACCCTCCAGTCCCGGCAACATCCTTGTAAATCTTTTCTGCATATTCTCAAGTTTAACCACACCCTTCCTTTAGAAAAGAGACCAGAATTGAATGCAATATTCTAAGAGTGGCCCCACCTACGTCCTGTACATGACATTCCCAACTGCTATACTCAATGCACTGAATAATGAAGATAAGTGCACCAAATGCCTTCTTCACCACCCTATCTACCTGCAACTCCACCTTCAGGGAGCAATCCACCTCCACCCCTAGGTCTCTTTGTTCAGCCGCTCTCCCCAGCATTGTTAGAGGTGGTGTTCCTCCAGGAGGGCATAGAGGACCCTATAGCATTCTTTTGAAGAAAGTCGTTGTTGATCTTTTAAGTGGCCTTAACTCCACTTTCCTGCCTTTTCCCCATAACCCTTGACTCCCTTCCTGATTAAAAATCTGTCTGCCTCAGCCTTGAATATACGTTTGCCAATCCCAAGAGCACATCAGCTGACTATTGAATGACACACTCTGATTAGCCAAGAAAATCTTAGGCTTGACAAAGATTGACATTTTGGGAGACCAATCAATTTCCAGTCAAATGAATGTGAATAATTTATTAATTGATGAATATTAGTTATTAATAATATCTATACAAGGGCATGTTTCATGAATCGAGGACTCTTCCAGAAATATAGCATCTAACAAGGGGATTATGTCTGAGAAATAAGCATATTTGGTCAATATTTTATCCAATAAACTCTGTCATTTCTGAGCTGCCTCCACCTGTTCCACTACCTTTCTTGGTTTGATACTATTTATAAATTTGGTCAGTTTGCATTGACTTTCTGAGTTCAAGTGACAGAGAGCATAGCTTAGGAAAATTTAATTTTGTTCACCTTATTTCTGTAATAACTAAATAATGGGATTTCACTTCTTTTTAAAGGGCAATTCCTTCAAAATAAGGGCAGCAGCGCCATCTGTCATTTCAAATGGGCAATTACATGAATTTGTGCACATTTAAATTTATCCTTTGACATATTTTGATGCATTGGTTTTATTTGACTTTATTCAGGGAAGTTTATAAGACCCATGGTATTCTTTAAAAGGAGGTCATGGCTAATGTTTTAAGTGGCCTTAACTCCACTTTCATAACTGCACCTCCCAGTAACCCTCGACTCCCTTGTTGATCAAAAATGTGTCTATCAGTCCTGAATTTGTTCAATGACCCAGACTCTACTCTCTGAGATACATAACCACAAAGATTGATGATCTTCTGAGAGAAAGAGTCGCTCCTCATCTTTGTCTTAAATGGAAGAGCTTTTCTTCATATCTTAGCCCTTTACTATGTAACCATTACTCTCATTGTTCTTCTCTATATCGGCTTTATCCCTTGAATATTTATTTAAGTTAGTTTTATTTAACTTCCACAGCCCGTACCGATAACATGTTACAAAACAACCAGAAATACAAGCAAACGCACAAAGACCTCTGATCAAATTCAGCATACTAGTTCACAATCCCAGTTTAAAAAAAAGGTAAAGTTGCTATAGTCCCAGAGGAACAAACAGCTGGAGGGAGATAAGGACTGCTTTTTTTTAAACATAGCAAGTTACAGTCAAGAAAACACGATCGGTAAAAGCAGATTCAACAATAGCTTTTAGGAGCATACGACCATAAGAAAAGGGACAGGAGTAGGCCGCTCGGTCCCTCAGGCCTTGTCCGCCATTCAAGATTAATGTGGCTGATCCAACATTTCTCTTTCCTGCCTTTTCCCCATGACCCTTGATTCCCTGATTGATCAAGAATCTGTCTATCTCAGCCTTAAATATACACAAGGACTCTGCCCCCACAGCTCTAGAACACTCACAACCCTCTGAGTGAAGAAATTCCTCCTTATCTCTGTCTTAAATTGGTGGCCATTTATTCTGAGACGGTGCCCACTGGTCCTGGACTCCCCCCATGATGGGAAACATCCTCTCAGCATTTACCCTGTCAAGCCCTTTAAGAATCCTATACATTTGAAACAGTGAATTGGATAGATGCTTAGAAGGGAAAAGTTAGCAGGCCATGGGGAAGTGGGTCTTACAGGGCCAGTATATGCAGCAGGGACTGAAAGGCCTCATAAAACTACATTGAATGTATGACACAGAAACAGGTCATTCAGCCCAATCAGGCCATGCTGGTGTTTATGCTTCACTCAAGTCTCCCCTGCATCTTCCCTCAGCTCAGTTCTATAATCATAACCCTCTATTACCTTCTCCTTCATTCCCTTTTCTAGCTTCCTCTTAAATGCATTTACACTATTATCATCTGTGGTAAGAAGTACCACTCTTTGGGTAAGGAAAATGTTCTGAGTTGCTCATTGGATTTCTTGGTGATTATCCTATATCGATAGACTCTTCTCACGTGAAAAAAAAATCTTCACATTCAACATGTTTCAGAGTTCAGAATACCTCTATTAGATCCAGCCTCTTTCTGCTTTCTTGATATCTTCCCCCTTAAGATTCTGGCATCATCCCTGTAAATCTTCACTGAACTTTCTCCAGAGGATAATACTCTCAGGATTAGAGTCCCAGGGAATGATCCATAGATTGTTGCTCTTGCCATGTGTAAATTGGTTTAGGAGCAGAGAGATCAGAATTAATAGAATTCTACAATCCCCACAGTGTGGAGGAAGGCCATTCGGCCCATCGAGTCTACATTGAGGTGGGAGTGGATATACAGGAAGAGTAGGCAGCCTAAGTAAACAAATCAGTGCAGGAACATGTATTTTCCAAGTGAAATAAATCAGGAAAAGAGGCAAATAAATGTCAGACTTTGGTAGAGTACCAATTTAGACTAATGATCTTTGAAAGTAAAATTCTGTTTTCCTGCTTCTGCACTATTGCATTGGTGAGTCTAGAAACATCACTATAATGTAGCTATGTAGTAGTTTAATGCATATGCTATGCTTCGCATAAAATATTTAAAAGTGTCAAAATGACATTAAAAATACAGAAAGACTGTCACTTCAAACTGGAACTGGAAATTTACAATCTCCAGCCAAAACATACATCTAAGTGTGCATTGTGTTCTCATCTGATCTAAGGCCAGAATTTTATAGGTAGCTTTCAACCTACATTGCAATATTAACGCCTACAGATTTCAGGCTTGTGCCTTTTTATACAATGAAATTAAACCACCAAAACAGGCCATTCAGCCCAACTAGGTCAATTCAATGCTTCATCTTCACATGAGCAATTGTCCCAATTCTGTGTGCATGCCTATAAGTGGTCATTCTAATGTAGACAAGGCTTATGCTTCAATCCCAAACTTCAGCAATACATTCCACAGCCTCACTACTAGCTGTTGCTCAGCAGAACATGTTGGATTGGGACTTGAAACTACAAGCTTCTGAATCTGCGGTGCTGAGGGAGTACTGTAGTGCAGGATGCTGGACTAAATAAAAACTAAAAGAACTGTGGATGCTGGAAATCAGAAATAAAAACAGAAATTGCTGGAATTGCTCAGTAGGTCTGGCAGCATCTAACAGCTTTTTCAGCAATTTTTGTTTTTGATGCTGTGCTAAATGTTTCTTGGAGAGATGCCAAACAGAAAGGCTAAGATAAGTAGATTCTTGTTTAGCAGGGGAATCAACGATTATGGAGAAAGGGTGGGAAAGTGGAATGAGAAATGTCTGATCAGCCATGATCCTATTGCATGTTGGAGTAGGCCTGAACAGCTTACTCCTGTTCCTATCTGTTTCTATTTGTTATAGTCTTATGGTCTTAGCAGCTGTGTTAAGTAGATGTAAAGGATCCCATGATGCTCTTTCTAAGAGCAGGGAAGCTGACCTAGTGAACATTTATTCCTCATCCAACATCACTAAAATAAATTATCTGTGTGTTTGAACATTGTTCTTTGAGGAAGATTACTCTGGGCAAACTGGCTACTACATTTCCTACATTACAACTTCAAAAATCATTCATTGGCATGTCTTGAGATTGTGAAAAGTGCTATATAAATGCAAGTGTCCCTCTTTTATGTTTCTCCTTCTCTGGCTTGAATATCTTAATTAATTGTATCTGTGTCTCTTAATTTTAGATTCATTAATCACTGAAAACAAATCATTTCAATCTCATCCCTTCATAATTTTGAACAGTTCTGTCAAATCATTGTTTAATCTCCTCTCCCAACACAAGCACACCCAGTTTTTCAATAGTTTATTTCTGTTGTCATTATTCATAACAAACGATTTAGAAGATTGAGGGAGGGTTCTCAGAGAAATACACTAAATTCTAATAGGTACTAGACAGGATAAATGTAGGCAAGATGTTCTTGATGATCAGGTAGTCCAGAATTAGGAGTCACTGTCTAATGAAATAGGGCAGACCACTTAGAATTAGAGGTAGAATTAGAATTTATTGTCACATGTAGTCAAGTACAGGAGTACGGTGAAAAGTGTACATAGTCACCATTCGCTGGTGCCATCTTAAAATACAAAATACAAAACTAGAATTTAAACAAAAAGAGAACAAATAAAAGAAACAGAGCCAAAAGAAAAAGAGAAGTGACCTTACGGAAAGGGAAAATGTCCACATTTTAAAGTAATCTCTTTGGGCCTAGCCCTGGCCTGGACTCAGATGAAGAGGAATCTTTTCACCAGAGAATGGTGAGCCTGTGGAAATTGTCTGCTACAGAAAGTGGTTGATGACAAAATATTGAACGTTTTCAAGATTAATTAGATATAGTTTTTCGGGCTAAAGGGATCAAAGGGTAAAGGGGGCAGAGCAGAAAGAGGGCACTGAGTTGAATGATCGACCATGATCATATTGAATGTCTGAGTAGGCTTGAAGGGCTGAATGGCCTAGTCCTCATAGAATCCCTACAGTGTGGAAACAGGCCCTTCAGCCCAACAAGTCCACACCGAAACTCAGAGCATCCCATCCAGACCCATCCCTCTATAACCCACCTAATCTACACCTCCCTGAACACTACAGGCGATTTAGCACGGCCAATCCACCTAGCCTGCACATCTTTGGACTGTGGGAGGAAACCGGAGCACCCAGAGGAAACCCATGCAGACATGGGGAGAGTGTGCAAACTCCAGTTTTTATGTAGGCTGCTAAATCTGGAACGTGCTGTCTCTAATCACTCAACATCTTCCCTATGTTGTAAATGCTCAAACTGCACACATTATTCCACCTGTGGTCTTTTTAAGATTATGAGATTCAGCATTACATCTCAACTTTTTTTATTATACACATCTTTCCACTAAACCAAGTAACTCACTACCATTTATATGGTTTTGCCCACTTGAGGAGCTACTTTTAAGATATATGATCCTGAAACTCCAAATCCCTCTGCTCTAATACATCACATTGTGTTCCTTTTCTCTAAGTATAATTTTTGCTATTCATCAGTGTACCCACCTCCATTAGACTTCGTGGCCTGACATGGGTTTGCAGATAAATAAAACTCTGTCTTAGATGCAGCACATTCTAAGTGATTCATATCTATTCTAAAAAATCCTCAATGGCTATAATTTGATCCAAATAATGTAGGTTACACATGATCGTCAGGAAATTCCGTTATCTTTGATAACAGAATCAACAGATGGTAGTCCTCCTTATGATTGCCCACCGAACTGTCGGTGATTTTTGTGGCTAAAGCTCTGGGTTTGGCCAGTCTTGAATGTTCTGCATGGACAAATTCATTCAGCTCAAGCGCCCCATTTTATGCCAAGACATGTCCCTTTCATTACAGCGCTTGCTGCTGTACTTGAAGAATTAAATTGTTTGAAGGTCACTTTGACAATGACGGAGGAAAGAAAAGTGTGTAAGGTATGTGATAGACCAGGGTGCCAGGTGGTTGGAGGCCTAAGTTATCAGGTCAGTGGGTGAATATTTAAGGTAAGGCAGGCTGGTTAGGTTCGAATCAGGTTTGGTGTCGGGTCGGGCAGGGTCAGGTTCAAAGTGGGTAGGTGTTAAGGGCCGGGATGTCCAGAAGGATCTGGGCTGAGGGTGGAGTGGGATGCCAGGCAAGGAGATGCCAAGGGGAGAGGGTGTCTGGTCCAGTAGGACCACGTTGTATCGAGAGTGATGATACACAGAAGGTTTGTGGATAAGAGTGGGGGAATCACTCAGATTGTGGATATTGAATCCAGCAAGGTCAGGTCCAGGGTGGGAAGTATGAGTTCTGATAGAGAGGGAGCTGTAGTTGCATGGTCAGTGGTGAATAGGGAGCTCAGTTTTATGGTTAACTAGGAGTTAGCATAGGCTTTTAATCCTCTAACTAGTCCTGGGTAACTGTTACCATGCCCACTGGCATTTTCAACTTCCTGGGCAATTCCCTTGGAGTTAGCTCCATTGGGAATTCTGAATGGTCCTGATCACAACTCCAGTTTAAGTTGCATAAGTGGCTATCTGGCTATCAGAATACCTGAGCCAATGTATTTAACCTTCATATTTCTTAACCCTCTACTGTATGGAAACGTAATTTTTAGGGAACCTAGCCAACTTATTAATTATATAAACATATAAACAATACTAGCAAGTGTAATCGAGCCAGTGCAATGTCAGGTAGACTGTACATCCCACTGATTGGCTGACTGAATCAAACAGTGGCTGCAATAGACAGAGTACAGACAATACTCAACTAGCCCATCTTGCAAAACCCAAAACAACACTTCGACTGTTAGATGTGATCCTGTGATTGGATGGCACTTGTTGAGCAATTCCAATTGTACTAATAACTACACTAGCAACCAATTTAAGTAAACAGACAAGCCCATAACTCAGCTCATTTGTTTCCTGAAAGAAGGATTAAAAAAAAGAGATAGAGGGGTTTAGTGTGGGACTTTCAGAGCTTGGAGTGCCAAACACAGAAGGCACAGCCAATAGTGATAGAGAGATTTAAAACTGGAGGTGTGCAAAAGACTAGAATTAAAGAAGCACATGGATTCAGGAGGGTTGGAGGAAATGATAACAATGAAAGGAGCACTGTCCCTACATGACTTAAAAGGAAGACAATCCCTTTTCCTGGTTTCTGTGCCTCTATCTCTCCATTCCTTTTGAAATTGCTTGACTGGTTCATTGCCATAGATTAATGCACCAATCATCACATACTTGTTTATTTAACACAAAACTGTTTTTGTACTTTTCTTCCAATAGAGTATGCAGAGCCTGATATTATTCAAGTGGGGATAACAGCCCAAAAAGCCTCATCTACTTTCAAGCCCCCAGTAGACGATGGCTACACTATACCACTTGTTGTAAGTCACTATGATGTTCCTTTTTCGGGGAAGAGCCATGAATATGCGGAACCATTATCTAACCAGGAGCCGGAGTATGCTACTCCATTTGTTGAGCAAAGTTCAGACTCAGAACCTTCCACAAAGAAAAATGTCTACATAGTAAAAGTCATTCCACCCAATCAAGAAGCACTATAGAAGCCTCAGTCAAGCCAGCTGTGCTGCTTCCGTACATTTGTCTCAACCAAACAAGATACAGATTTGTGTCACGTACTGACCCTTTCCAAAGGTTGCTAAGCAAAAGAGACAAGTCAAAAGCGGCGAGCAAAAAGGTACAACATCAAGTAAATTGCACCAAAGAAAGCTCCTATCTGCCCTAGTGACTCTGTTATGTCAGTGAACTATCAAACACATGGATCATGAACAGTAAGTACTTGTGTATGCTTTAAAACTGCCTGTCACTCCTGAATTCAAAAGAAAGTTGGCAATACAATATTATCGATGCCAACTAGTTCAAACGACAGGAGTGAGGAAACAAACAGCCAAGTCACAGAAAGTAGCTCCAGGGCAAGGGGTCTACACTGATACCACTAAGTGAAAACCTTGAACTCTGAATAGCGTACATGATGTTGTTTCCAACAGGGAATGTTTTGATAATCATGTTATTTAATGTATTTTTTAAGGACTGAATAGGTAAAAGCACTTCATAAAATAGGAATGGATGGGAGCATGCATTAATTGCTCATTTTTGTTACAGAATATTTTTTACAACAGAGAAAACTGATATTATTTAACCAACAATTAATCAGATTTGTATGAATAAAATGTGATGTCTAGGTTTCGGTATAGACTCTTTCGAAATTCAAAACGATGGGATTTACAGTCCTTGGCACTGCACACTTTCAGGCCAATTTCTCAGAATTATCTTTAACAAACAATGAATTGATTTCACAACGGAATTTAAATACAGAATAAATACACGGGAGCGATTTCAGAGCAGCCACTTCTCAGAGTCACTCATAAAGACGATGTACGGCTAATCTTAGATCTTCTCACAAAAAATTGCATTGAAATTACAACAATGAAATTATATCTTTGGATCTAATGTTCTTCCAGTTTAATTTCTTTTCTTTGCATCCTGTTGGTTTTGAATGTTCAGGTCTCCCTGTGAAGTGGAAATGATAAGATATTCTTATTAAAGAATTGTTGATAGCTAAATGGTTATACCATAGTCTAGCAAAAATCTATTGTGATTAATGGGATAAAACATCCCTATAAGAACAATAACTGAGTCATTATAATCTTGTTGTTTGTGGGATTTTCCTAACAACAATTGGCTGCTATATTGCCTACATCACAACGGCGACATAACTTCAAGAACCAAGTCATTGGCTGTAGAGCATTTTGGAATGCCCTGAGGTTACTGAAGGTGCTACAACCTGTTTAGATTTATATGCCAGATAAGGCCTATGGCAGTAATTTTTCCACAAAAATACTTTGAATATAACAGGATGGCTGGTTTACAATGCAGAATGATGCTAGCAGCATCAGTTCAATACCCACACTATCTGAGGTTGCAATGAAAGATTCTCCTTCTCAATCTCTCCCCTCACCTGAGGTATGGTGACCCTCAGGTCAAACCATCACCAGTTGCCTCCCTGTAATGAGAGAGCAGCCCCATGGTATGGTAATACGATGGTAACTTAATCTTTTACACAGAAGTATAGGTAAAATAATTTAATACATACTAACCAGTTGTTTGGAGATGCAAACCACTTGCACCAGGAATTCAGCTGAATAGATAATGAGTGGAATTCATTGAATCATAGAATCCCTACAGTGCAGAGAGAGGCCATTTGGCTCATCAAGTCTGCACCAACCCTCCAAATAGCATCCCACCCAAACCCAGCCCCCTCACCCAATCCCTGTAACCCTGCATTTCCCATGGTTAATCCACTTAGCCTGCACATCCTGGATACTATGGGGAAATTTAGCATGGCCAATCCACCTAACCTGCACACCTTTGGACTGTGGGAGGAAACTGGAGCAACCTGAGGAAACCCACACAGACACAGGGAGAATGCACAAACTCCACACAGTCCCCAAAAGCTGGAATCGAACCCAGGCCCCTGATGCTGTGAGGCAGCAGTGCTAACAACTAAGCCAGCATACCATCCAAATTAGCTGAACTTTACTTGAGGTGACGGTGGTGTGATGGGAACCCATTTGATTGGGTAGTGGGCTTTGCTGTGAGCATTAGCATCGTGCCCTTGGGATGGAAGATCAAAAGAAAAGATGTCTGGTTAAACAGATGCAGCATGGTGAGAATTACTGAACCTTACAAAGACTCCTGAGGCTTCAGCAACCAAGGGAATAGAAAGAAAATTTGGGAAGGTTGATCCATCCAGATCTCTGACACTTACCTGAAGGTTCTGCTGAGAATCTGAGAGACTGAGGTAATGTTTCCCGTGAACAGGAAGAACAGACCAGCCTGTCAAAACTAACTGGTATGAATGCAAGTGGACCAGGAGTAAGTGGAACAAATGTGGTCCCTCTAATCTGGATACAGTATGCCAAGAGTTGCAAGGATCTTGGGAGGTGGGTACAGTGAGTGGCCTACGACTTTCAGGTGCCAAGCCCCATACTCTGACTTTCTCAGTAATCCTCTGTACAACACTCCCCCTGATCAACAGTCTATTCATTCCATTTCCCCTCATCCCCATCCACATAGCCAACACAGGGTGTCTCCCTTATCTTAATCATGTTTTATGGTCATCATCAACAAACATTGCTTTCCCTCCTCTCATAATCCATTTCTCATGCTGCTGACTCCCTATTTTGTCTCCTTGTAGAAACATATGCAGTGGTCCAGAGAAAGGCAGAGAATTAGGTTTGCAATGACCTTTCAGTGAGAGCCATTGGCATTATAAACCCAGCTGGTCTGCTGAATAGCAGATCCTGCCTCAAGAAGCTACAGACATCAGCAATAATTTGCCAAGAAAGCCTGAGATTCTTGAGGCATCAATGCTCAGACTTATAAAGATCTTCTGTTGACCCCAATTCGGGAGTCTTGCCTCTGTGTGGAACTTTATGTCCATCCCCTCTGCCCTATGGAATGGAGCAAGAAAAGAAATACCAAGTCTAACCTGTGATCACAGGATTTCATTAATGGCAATGTAAAATTAACCCTAAGATTGATTAATTAAGTAAGCTACAATTAGGTATTCCAGTAATTGTTGTGTAGCTCTGCAGTTTGATCTGCTGTAACATGTTATCCTCTTACATGTGATGCCACTTAATATGTATCATCATGTCATATCATGAGTATGGTCACATTGTCTTTGTTAGAACAAAGGTGAACCAAATGTTGTTTGGAGTTCCCTTTAAGGAAAATAGACATATTAAAATGTTATGAAGATTTTGTAATTGCATGTGAAAAATGCCTTGTCATCTTCCTGCTTACTGTAAGAGTGCTGCATTGAGTACAGCTCCATTCACACAAGTCAGGGATCCATATTATTTAAAACTTCACAATCTTGCTCTGAGAGAAATTACGTGGAAAATGGGAGGGCTGATGCGACAGCAGCCCTTTCAGTTCATCCCATGGCATCATTCTAAAGGAGACCATGAAGGTCAAGCATGCAACATGTCACAGTTACAGGGTGGCTCGGTGGCTCAGTGGTTAGCACTGCTGCCTCACAGCACCAAGGACCTGGGTTTGATTCCACCCTTGAGTGACTGTCTGTGTGGAGTTTGCACATTCTCCCTGTGTCTGCATGGGTTTACATTGGGTGCTCCGGTTTCCTCCCACAGTCCAAAGACGTGCAGGGTGGGTGGATTGGCCATGCTAAATTGGCGCATAGTGTTCAGGGATGTGCAAACTAGGTGGATTAGCCATGGGAAATGTAGGATTACAGAGATAGAGTAGTGGGTTGGGTCTGGGTGGGATGCTCTGAGGGTCAGTGTGAACTTGTTGGGCTGAAGGGCCTGTTTCCACACCATAGGGATTTTACTCTATTCTATACTTGCAGAGATTGCACTTACACTACACAGATGAGACACAGTCATATGCAGGGACCCATTCTCTGCAAATAAAAGAAATATGATCAAGTCTTGTGTTGTTTTTGATACAACCTCTACCAAGTAGAAGGATAAGGACAGAAGGTGTGTGGATTACCAGGAACAATGTATCTTTTAAAGTCTATATCCCATAAAAATTTTGGTGCATATAATTAACTTGGTTGCTGCTAAAGTTATCAAACAGAAATTATTGAAAATATAAACATATTTAGAAGTCTAGATAACAAAACAAATCTTGCAAAAAAAAATTACATTTATTACAAGTATTGTAAGTACGGATTGGGCATAAATATTTTGGAAGTACTGGGTAATTAAATGCAGTATATTACTGTGATAACCATTATAAACATGCTGCGTATAAAGCTGTTAGACATTAAATAACTTTTACAGCATGGATATTTAAGGAAAGAATATGTAATAGTCACAGCTCAATACCATTTGACTAACATTATATTTCATCTTAATCTGAACAAAAGCAAGAGTTATTTCCAAAGCTGCTTCCCTGAAAGCGAATCTGGAGCTTCCCATTTTGCAGGTGAAATCTGGCAGGACAGTTCCTGCTCCACAGAAAACTGGCATTAGCAAGTCAAACAGGAGTATTGACTGCTATGGACAGAATTCTGTGGTTGAGAGCACCCCCTCCTCAAGACTGAAAACAAAATCATGAGAACAGACTAGCAGGAAAAGCAAAACTTTTCTTTACACCACTTATTCTTTACACCACTATATACTCCTCTTGGCTGCTGAAGCAGCTTTTGCATTTGGCTATTGTTTCCATAACAATGTCTCAGGAATATTTTATCATTTTCTGTTACAGGTCAGATTTTTAAAATTGTTCATTCAGCTTAATGATGCAACAACATTTGAATCATGTCGTCAGATAGCTAGCTTGAAGATCTATAAAGGATCCTATTTTACAGTTGGCATTTATTGATGAATTTACAGCCTGCAATGAATGGCAAAATTAATTCTATCAGCTGCAGATTGGACATGACCAACCGTGTTATTGGACGGCGCCCTATGAGTTTACAAGATTTTGCAGGAAACCCATGTTGACTATGACACTCCCATAGTTAATTTTATATGGGCAGCCTGTACATCTCAGCTTCAATTTCATGTCACTGCTGAGTTAGCAATCTCAGCTTTAGTGGCAATAAGGGCACTGCAGTTATTGTCAGCGCTTCCTGAGTTTGGAGAAAAAAATTTGACATAATCCCATTTCCTCCTCGGAATCCATTATTTCTCCAACTGTTATCCGATGGGGTGAGCTGAGAAGTGTTTGTTGGTTGAGGACAAATTGTGCTCAGTTGTGATGCCGCTATGGTTAATTAGCCTACAAATATCACATTCTCAGGTTGCGCAAGCCATTGGGGTGAAATACTAAAGAACGCTAGAGGCCTATTCATAGCATTCATAGTACAAATCAATACCTCTGAGGGTGGATTCACAAAGCATGTTCACACAGTGATTTCTTTAAGCACATTTTCATAATTCAATCAAACATCTTAGACATTCACTTTGCAGATAAATGCTATTTTGTTTGCAGAATTAGCAAACCTAAAATCAAATCACTGGCAAAAATAAACGTAAGATTATTTACATAATGTAATAAATTCACATTCACGCCACATTACAGCCTTTTATTTCATGTCTATTAGATGGGTGTCACTATGGCAGTAATTCAATCACAGGTGCCCTAATGAAGGTTGTAAATGAGTACAATGTTCCTTATTACTGCCATTCAATACTTATATGT